CTCTAGCAAAATGTAGTATGACTATGAACCTAGAAACATGTGTTTACACCAATTACACGTGCCTCGATCACTAGTACGCCAAGAAAAAGTGATTGATGTACTGTTGTACATGTTTTGTTCACAAACAAAATATAAGCTAAACATCATATGTGTAAACATCATTCCATATATTTACTCATATATAAGGTAAACATCATATGTAAATTGTAGAGATATTCCACCTTCTTTCTTGGAAGTTGCCAACAGGCATCTCCCACCTTCTAGGAAGAAGCTCTCCAACATATGAGCATGGAAGAAGATTGCTTGGAGATAGCTAGGAAACTCCCTAGCAATGGGAATGGAAGCTTGGATGCATCTTCCTCATGTCTCCCATATACACCTATAAATAGGGAGTGTATTGTTGTTCATTTGTATCAGTTTAGAAAGTGAGAAAAGTGTGTGAAGAGTGAAATACACTAAGAGTAGAAGTGTATTGGTGAGGATTGATTTTTGTAATAGTTGAGTGTGTGAGTTCGCTCCTCTTACTGTAATTCTGTTCTTGATATTGAATTGAAGAATTTTCCAATCCGAACAAGTGGTATCAGAGTGAGGTTGAATTTCCATACACTTTTTTCTCATTTTTAGAAAAATTTCTACAGGTTAGAAAATCGTGATTTTATAGTTGCTCGGAATCACGATCTGATCGTATCGTTAGATTTGTCACGTCGATACGAGAAATCAGGTATTTTTGGAGAATTTTTTGGCGACCGGAAAAGGCTATACGCGCCGCCCAACCGCCGCCTGGAACTGCCTGCGTCATCACGTGCAGTCCAGAGGAAGAAGACGACACACGTCAGCGCCACGTCCGTCCACGTTAGCCGCCACGTCAGCCGCCAAAGCCATCCACCTTGAGCCACGTGGTGCCACGTCTACACCACGTCTGCGCCAACGCAGAGCCAGCTGCTGTCACGTCACCAGCCTGCGTGTCAGCACACTGGGTTGCTTCCTGAACCAGACTGAACCACTGCGTAGTTATGGAGGCCAATTCACCCGTTTCCAGACCGGTTTTGGACGAGGTCAGACCGGTTCCTACCATTTTCGGCCATTCGGATCCAACGGTGAGCTTTGTTTGTCCAAATTAGGCTTCGAAAATAAGGTACGAGATATATTGAGCGTTTTGTTATGGATAAATCATCATCGGACACCATGATTGCGCTGACTTCCACAAATTACAATATGTGGAGGCCTCATATGGAGGATTTGCTAAATTTGAGGGATTTAGCCGATCCTCTTGATAATAATGGCGTGAAACCGGATAAAAAGACGGATGAAGAATGGACAAAAATGAATCGAAAAACTATTGCACAAATTCGGCAGTGGATCGATCATAGTAGTGTGTTCCACCATGTTGCTCAAGAACAAAGTGCTTAGACACCATGGGAGAAGCTTAGTAGCATGTATCAAGCAAAAACCGCCCGAAATAAGACATTACTAATGAGGCAATTAGTAAACCACAAGTTGCGTGGTGGTATTTCAGTGTCAGAACACAACAGTCAATTCCAGGATCTTGTGAATCAGTTGAGCACCACCGGATGAGTTCTCAAAGAAGAAGAACATGTGATACTACTCTTGAGCTCTCTACCTGACAGCTGGGAGACTCTTATTGTCACTCTCAGCAATTCTGCTCCCAATGGTGAGGTGACTATATGCAGATGGTCACAGATGCCCTTATGAACGAAGAAGCCCGAAGAAAAGAAGCTTGGACTGAACTATCATACGCCTTCGTGTCAGAAACCAGCAGACGAGGGGGAGGCAGAAATGGAGGAAGAAGTCGAGGTCGGGGTAGAGGCCAAGGTCAAAACAGAGGAAATTCTCAAGTTCGCGACAGATCACAAGAACGAGGTATGTCCTATGAAAACAATAATTGGTTTGAAAGATATTGTAATTACTATGGTAATTATGGACATAGAAAAAGAGATTGTAGAAAGTTTCTACGAGAGCAGCCACAGACGAGTCAAAATACTAGCCAAGAAGATGGTGAGACCATGGTTAGTTTTTCATCAGACATGTTACTTGTTACACATGGTGAACAAGAATGTTTACACGTAGGCACTCACGATGTTGAGTGGGTGGTTGATACAGCCGCATCATTTCACGCCACTCCACACCAGAACTTATTCACATCTTATAAGTCCGGAGACTTTGGAGCTGTGAAGATGGGAAACACGAGTTTCTCGAAGATTGTTGGCATTGGTGATGTGAACATAACAACCAATGTCAGATGCGCACTTGTGTTGAAAGATGTTCGACATGTTCCGGATCTTAGATGGAATCTTATCTCCGGTATAGCTCTGGATCAGCAAGGATATCTTAACCGATTCAAAGAAGGTACGTGAAAGTTATCTAAAGGTTCCTTGGTTGTTTCAAGAGGCCATATTTGTGGTACTCTTTATAAAACTCATGCAAAGTTGTGTCATCCGAGTCTCAATGCTGTTGAAGAAGAGACATCACCAAAATTGTGGCACCAGAGGTCAGGCCATTTGAGCGTGAAGGGATTGACAACTCTTTCAAAGAAGGAAGTCATTTCCACGGGCCAAGGTGTTGCCCTAGATCCATGTGAGCACTGTCTATTTGGAAAACAACACAGGGTTTCCTTCAGTTCTACCAGGAAGAACCATTCAGAGTTACTCAGTCTTGTACACTCTGATGTATGCGGACCCATTGAAGAGGAGTTACTTGGAGGAAGCAGATATTTCATGAAATTCATTGATGATGCATCACGAAAGGTATGAGCTTACTGTTTAAAGAGTAAGGATCAAGTGTTTCATCATTTTAAAGTGTTCCATGCCATGGTAGAAAGAGAAACATGGAAGAAGCTGAAGTGTCTACGATCAGACAATGGAGGAGAGCATACTTTCCGGGAATTCTCAGCATATTGCGCCGCATATGGAATCAGGCATGAGAAGACGGTTCCACGAACTCCACAACACAATGGTGTAGCCGAAAAAATGAACCGAACCATTGTGGAGAAAGTTCGTTGCATGTTGAGTATGGCTAAACTACCTAAGCCATTCTGGGGTGAAGCTGTGCTAACAGCTTGTCATCTTATAAACAGGTCACCTTCTGTTCCTTTAAACTTTGATGTGCCAGAGAAGAAATGGTCAGGAAGAGATGTTTCTTATACTCATTTGAAAATGTTCGGGTGCAAGGCGGCACATGTGTCCAAAGAGTTGAGACAGAAGCTTGATTCAAGTCAAACCCATGCATCTTCATCGGCTATGGAGATGAAGAATTCGGATACCGGTTGTGGGATCTCGAAGTGAAGAAAGTTGTACGAAGCAGAGATGTTGTATTTCATGAAAACGATTTTCATGGGTGTGCTCCAATAATTCGCCAACAACATACTCCAGAAGACGAAGTGCCTGTATCATCAAACATTCCTCTCACCGACGAGGAGATGCATGATACTACTGAATAAGAGAGTGAAGGTTCAGTAGGTGATGATGATGCTCACATTGATAATATTCCTCAGCAGGGGGAGCCTTCATCTGAAGACGAACCTGAAGGTACTCATATTCGACATTCTATGCGAGGCATAGCTCCACAGAGAAAGTATTCCACATCCGAATGGATACTTATTGCCAGCGAGGGGGGCCAACGAGCATAGCAGGAGTGAGAGGAATAAAGAAAAAGGTGGAGGGGGAGATTTGTAGAGATATTCCACCTTCTTTCTTGGAAGTTGCCAAGAGGCATCTCCCACCTTCTAGGAAGGAGCTCTCCAACATATAAGCATGGGAGAAGATTGCTTGAAGATAGCTAGGAAACTCCCTAGCAATGGGAATGGAAGCTTGGATGCAACTTCCTCATGTCTCTCATATACACATATAAATAAGGAGTGTATTGTTGTTCATTTGTATCAGTTTAGAAAGTGAGAAAAGTGTGTGAAGAGTGAAATAATTGAGTGTGAGAGTTTGCTCCTCCTATTATAATTCTGTTCTTGATATTGAATAGAAATTTTTTCCAATCCCAATAGAAATTTCTAAGGTAAACATCTGAACATCATGTGTTTACACCGATATACTAATTGTACATTTTGGATCACATGGAGTATGCTCTTTTTTAAGTGGCGGCATACGGCAACAAACATGGTTTTAGCATGGAGTTGCCTCAATTAATTTGACCCCAAGTTTAAAAAAGGAGAAGGCCGTCCAGTGTATAACATAATAAATTTAGAAGAAGTATTTTTGGTTTACACATATTTTGTACTTATTTTATAAATAATCTCAATTGTCTATCCATATACGTAATTCGTTCATAAGTTCAGTTGTTTGCCTATTTAAGTAATTCATTCAGAAATTACCTATGTGTATATCTCGCCATGTCGTCAGAAAATAAGTCTTAAAACACTTGAAGCCATCGTTTTATTAGTACAATTAGTCAATTATAATAAGTTTCCAAACTTTACGTAGTACAACTATATAATCATAAATTATTCTTGATATACACAAAATTTGTACACAAATTGTACTCTCACCGTCCTTTAAAACTTTGTCAACTTTTCTTTTCTGGATGTCCCACTAACTTTGCCATTTTCTCCTTTGAATAAAAAATTTGTGGTTTCTAGTTAATTCTCTTTCCTCTGCACAAACCTCAATCACACAATTTTTACTTTATTATTCCCCGTGCCGATCAAACTTGACAAAGTTTTAAGAGACGGAGAGAGTATATTATTTGTGTACACATGCATTTGATTATAAAATTATTCTTTTTCAAACGAATTGTCTACACTAGAAATGGTAAACAAGTTGTATTTGGGTATAATCATTGTTGTTGACCCTTGATCAAAACATATTGCCGCCACTCCGTATCACATGCTTGGAAAAAGACAGATTCCCTATTCATGAAGGGGAAATTCACAATAATACTCGGTATATGTTTACACCAATTACCGGGAGAACCAAACGTGTGAACTTTCAATCAAACATGTTTTTCCATTTAAGAATAGTAATGGCCGCCAGGAAACCACCAAACCGCTATCTATTATGCTTCTTTCTAATTCCAAACCTTCTTCTAACCTCCATAGCTATTTCCATTGACACCATCACTCCCACACGTCCCCTCACAGAAAACCAAACTTTAGTCTCCGCCGGCGACCTCTTTGAACTAGGATTCTTCACTCCCGGCAACTCCGGCAAACGGTATGTCGGGATATGGTACAAGAAAATAAAACAGAGAACAGTCGTTTGGGTCGCAAACAGAGACAAACCACTCACGAATTCCCCCGGTTTCTTGAAAATTGGTGAAGATGGTGGAATCCATTTGGTAGACAGCATAGGAGATTCTATCTGGTCATCATCGAATCAGACAAATCTCCCAGTTCCAAGGAACAACACAGCTGTTGCCCAGCTCCTAAATTCTGGGAACTTTGTTCTGCGCCAAGAAAACGATGAAAAAGCAGAGGATTATCTCTGGCAAAGCTTTGACCACCCGACAGACACACTCTTACCTGGAATGAAGCTAGGATGGGATTCCAAAACCGGGCTCAATCGATACATATCATCCTGGAGAAGCCCAATCGATCCATCGGAAGGGGATATAAGCTTCAAGTTGGACATCAATGGCTACCCAGAAGCATTCTTGAGGAATAAAGGCTCAATCTTTTACAGAAGTGGAGGCTGGAATGGGAACCGATTCAGCGGAGTCCCAGAAATGGAAACAGAAGGAGCTGAAGTAATCAGTTTCTCCTTTAAGAGGACTCAGGACGAAGTTTACTACTCATTCGAGATGAAAAATGAAACATTGTATTCGAGATTGATAGTGAACCAAACAACAGGGTATCTGGAGAGGTACACTTGGGTCCCGGAGAGTCTCATTTGGAACCAATTTTGGTACTTTCCGAATGATCAATGCGACCTTTACAGAGAATGCGGTTCCTTTGGGTTATGTGGGCTTCAGCAGTCACCAGTTTGCGGGTGTTTGGTCGGGTTTAAGCCCCGAAACCAGCAGGCTTGGGGTTTGCGGGATGGGTCGGGCGGGTGCATTCGGGTCGACAAGCTGGAGTGCGAAGGGGACGGGTTTTTGGCATTGAACTATACGAAGTTGCCGGAGAGTGGGGGTGCGTTTGTGGATGAGAAGATGAGTTTGGATGAGTGTAAGGGGATGTGCCTTAAGAATTGCTCCTGCACGGCTTATACCAACGCCAATGTCAGCAATGGCGGGTCGGGTTGCGTAATTTGGACGACGGAGCTTCTCGACATGCGCAATTTTTCGGAAGTGGGTGATCAACTTCTTTACATTCGCGTGGCTGCTAAAGATGCAGGTTTGCTTTTTATTAAAAAATCGCTCTTTCTCGCCCTTTTTTTCGTGTGTTTAAGTGGATATGTTTCATACAGTATAAAACAAATCACTTCGTATGAATCATACTACTTCGTATTTGTTTAGTTTTAATTCATTCTTATTTGAAAAAAAAGGCAAATAAACCCTCTAGGTTCGAACTAACAAAAAAAAGTACAAATCACCCTATATATAATAGGTTCTGTCCGGCCGTCCTCATTTAGGTCGATTTCCAGTGGAATTTTTTAATGAAATTTTTTGAGCATATTCTTCATTAAGTCCAGTTTACCCATACCAAATTTCAGCTAAAAATAAAATCGGGAAGGTAGTCAAATGATTTTCTAAAATATACTACGATGTTTAACTACACAGTTATCTTCAAAAATTCATTTGACTGCCTTCCCGATTGAATTTTTATCTGAAATTTGGTATGAGTAAACTAGTCTTAATGAAGAAGATGCTAAAAAACTTTTATCAAAAAATTCCACCGGGAACCTCCCCAAATGACGACGGCCGGATAGAACCTCCTATATAAAGGGTGTTTGCGCTTTTTTGGTTAGTTTGAGGGCTTATTTGACCCTTTTCTCTTCTTATTTTATAAACAATTTATCAATTACTTGTCACGTAAATATGCCTATTAAAAGTAATACCACTCCCTTTTGTCTCAATCACACGAGAATGTGTTAGTATTACATTAAAGGGTGTGTAAGTATGAAAGTAAAGAGAACTTCTTCTTGTACACATTTTTATACCCATCTTATACCCACAATGTCTGTGAGGAGTTTTTTTGGTCTGTGAATCCGATTTACAGACAAAGTAATTTGCATAGACATATTTTGTCTCTGACCGGGATTCACAGACAAAAACAACTCCTCACAAACATTATGGGTACAAAAGTGGGTATAAGAGTAGACACACAGTTTTTTTGGAAAGAAAAATAGCAAAAAAATTTGAAAATGTAAGGCTAAGTGAGTAGCGATGTAAGGCTATATGAGCATAGCTGCATAGAGCACTTGCCAATTAATAGCATGTCATACTTCATCTTTTAGAATGTTTTTTTAAATCAAAATAATCACCTACTTTTAATCAAATCATGAGTCAAAACAGAAACAACAAAACTAGGAGGGCAATCAAACCAAAAGAAGTAGAACTATTCCCGTGAATGATCTCCGAGATAACATGTAGCACATCCGATTCCACTTCCAAGTGAATCCAAGATCACGCCTCTCTGATTCCAAGCAATTCCCCTTCCCTAGCTAAGCATTGACCAAGCCACGGTTTAACCACCCCTGCCACACAGTTCCCTTCCGAGTCATGTACAACCCAGCCCAACCCGTGACGTGCACATTGTCGTGATGTGCACTCAAAGTAATATTACAATACAATAATTATACGTAATATAATGAAGTAAGGTTTGTATCCATAGGGAAAGGAATACTTTTCTTTTTATAGAACTAGTAACAAAAGGGGGGTTTTAGTTTGATTTGGTTTAATTAATTAAACACGAAGATGAACGACTTATGTGGTTTACTTAATAAAGATGAAGACTTGGCTTTGCTTTTTATCCACTTAATGAAATGTTCATTGATCTTGGTTATATCTTTAACTATCTTCCTCTCGAATACTCAATCGAGGAGTTTATCCAGTTCATCAAAGGTAGTTATTAATAACGAGACGCGTTCATTAATAAAACTTACTACTGAGTTAATATAGAACACGCTCCGTATATTAACCTGATAGTAGCAATAAAATCAAGATGAAAACGATTGAGATTGATAACCTCAACACAAGCGGTTTGTCGGTTTAACCAATATAATTAATTCCCCTTCGGTTATTAACCATGAAACGCATGCATTAACAACCCAAGTTTACTACCGTGAAAGGACCGAATTAATAACAAACGTATTAATCGATTGATTCTAGTAATAATTAATATATGAAACAAAACTAGTTGATCCTTTAATGAATGTTCAAAATATTAATATCAAATAGGAGTATGAATTAATTAATATTTAAGGAAGAAGATTAAAGAAAATAACTCACAACTTACAATTCATTAAGCTTCAAAGTAGCAAGACCAAGATGAAAGAGTTTAGCTCCTCATTTGGAGACTAAACATAATGAAAATATAAAGAAATAACTTATCTACACTGAGCTTAGAAATGTATAAAATTGGATTTTTTATTGTGAATGAAAGGAGTGTATTTATAGGCTTTTGGGAGCTGCAGGGTCTGATACCCGACCGGGTATCTTAGAAAATTGCCCAGATAGTCACTTTTTTGGGCATACCCGATCGGGTAAGGGTATATACCTGATCGGGTATGTGACAAATCTGAATCAAGTAAATACCCGATCGAGTATGCCCATACCCGATCGGGTACATGAGTAATTTTTTCAAATCGAAATCTTTCTTGTCTCCTTGCACTTTCTTTGATCTTTTAAGGTCCAATCTCGATCCCTTGGATGATCTTTAATCTGTTTAGCTCAGAATAATCCTAATCTAAACAAATTACAAATAAAAAATGAAAATAAAATATTACAACAAAAGTGTGTAATTTCCACAACTAAAACTAATAAAAACTAGTTAAAATACAAATATACATCATAGGAAATTCACACAATCACTCCGCCTTGCTCCACTCGTTGAGGCATCAACATTTAACTTTATTTCCCATCCCCCGGTCGCTGCCACATCCTAGGTCCTACCCGCACTTGTTGCCCGAAAAATATCCAGCACCTTGCACCTTGCTTGATCGTTCCCTTGCCTGCTTCCAGCCCTTCAAAAAAGCATGAGCTTGCTCCCATACACGGTCGGATGACAAATATGTGTTGCTCCACACTCGATCGTTGCGAGCAAAACCTCTATCTCCCTTTGTTGAAAGAACACCTGCACCCAATCCAGAAAGGTTAAGACATCGGGTCCCATTTGATTCCATCCTAGCTTTTGCCAAAGCAAAACCTCCAAATCAGACTGGATTTTAGAATGTTTTTAATTGGAATCTAACTTTCTCGTCTAGTCTAATAGATGTGTCAGTTATATGCGGATTCTACAACTATCAAACCCTGATTTGATTTTGTCTGGTCTGATCTGATAAGAATGTATAACTCTGATCTTGTATGGTCTAATCAAAGACCGAAACGAGTCCAATTAAAAACATTCTTAGACACGCTCAAATTCATTCCACAATAACACCTGATCGGTCATATTATATTGTTTTGGATGCGAAGAATAAATTTATCACTTTGATCATATATGATTTATTTATTTAGAAGTGAACTTAAGCTTCTCTTGGTTTAGATTTAGGATTACTCTGTTTTTTCATGACACCGGCCTAATTCTAAAAACAACATTTTTAGAATCTCCGTATAGTGAACGTTTTGAAGTTTAAGTTTTTTTTTAAGTAAGTTTAACATATAATCTAATTTAACCTTCATTCAAATACTTTTTTGTTGGTTAGAGTCAACCTAATTTTTTACCGAACAACAATTCTAAATATGCATATGTGTTCTCCTAAGTTAACCCATTACATTTTGGCTTCCAAAATGTTATGAAAGCTGTACTAATTACTTGTCAATGTTTCAACTGTAGAACAAAATGGGAATGCTCCAAAAGCCCGAGATAGGTTTGGCAAGAAAAAATTGATAACATTGGCATGTGGCATTATACTTGGTATTGGAGTTATTCTATTTGGCTTGTTTTTGTGGAAGAGAAGAAGATCACGGAGAGCTTTTGCAGCAAATATATACCTCGGAGGTTATAATACTAATCACATAATTCATAAGCAATTTAGTAACTTTTTTTTTTTTGGAAAAATGCATTTTAGTTTCTTAATAAATTGATAGATTGTAGAATCATAATTGGATCGATCATTGAAACACTGAATTAATTAAGTCTATTTACTAGTCTATGTCTAACCAAATCCTTTCTTACCCACATCTTACATCTTCTTCAAGCAGGCATAGGAAAAAGAACCGGAGATCTTCTAATGGTTGAAACAATTATGACAGACAAGTTTGAATTACCTTTGTTCGATTTTAGCACCATCTTTGAAGCAACAAGCAATTTTTCCGAAGAAAATAAGCTTGGCCAAGGTGGTTTTGGCTCTGTCTACAAGGTACTCCGTAATAAATAATTATTTGAAATTATTTACTCTTCCATATAAGTAATATCATTAGGATGTTTTAATTGTACTCATTTAGTTCTCTTAGACCAAATGAAACGAGAACAAAGACTTGAATGAAAGTCGGCAAGCTACGCCAAATTTAGATAATAGTTAAATACATGCATGCTAGACTAGAGCAAACTAGTTCAAAACCAATTATTTTAGTCCAATGAAATTCAGATCAAGTTAAAACATCCTTTATAAGTTGCTATGTTGACATATTTCTCCAAGAAGATCCTAGACTACACATCCAATGAAATTGACCTTATAGGATGGAACATCCGGTTTTAATATGTCGTAACAATTATGGTTGAATTATTGATAGGGAACACTCATTGGCGGTGAAGAAATTGCAGTGAAAAGGTTATCAGAGAAGTCTAGACAAGGAGTAGAAGAATTCAAAAATGAGCTCACATTGATTGCAAGACTCCAACACAGAAACCTTGTTCAGCTTCTTGGCTGTTGTGTTGATAACGAGGAGAAAATGTTGGTATATGAATACATGGAAAACAAAAGCTTGGATTCTCTTTTATTTGGTAAGTTCTATCATTTATATCGGGTTTCGTCTTGACCTAAAAAGTAAACCTTAAATGAATACCTCAAGATGCTATATGTTTTGTATTTTTTTTTATTTTATCAATGCGGGTGGTTAATTATGTTTGACTCTGTCTCACTAATGTTAATTGTATATATAATTGTTTAGATAAACACAAAAGCTCACTGTTGGACTGGAAAAGGCGTTTCAACATCATCTACGGGATTGCTCGTGGAATACTATATTTGCATCAAGACTCGAGGTTTAGAATTATTCATAGAGATCTTAAAGCAAGCAATGTTCTCTTGGATAAGGAGATGAATCCTAAAATATCAGACTTTGGCATGGCCAGAATATTTGGAGGCGAAGAAACAGATGCCAACACTACAAAGAGAGTAGTCGGAACATAGTAATAATCACTGGAACCATTACTTTCAAGTTAATTCTAACTCTAAAAAATGACTACTTTTTATAATTTTCTTTAACTGATATTTATTTTTTCTTCTATTAGTGGGTATATGTCACCAGAATATGCAATGGACGGACAATTCTCGGTGAAATCTGACGTTTTTAGCTTCGGAGTTCTAGTGCTTGAAGTAGTTAGCGGGAAGAAGAACCGAGGATTCTATCAACACAACGAAAAAGAAAATCTACTTGGCTTTGTAAGTGGGTATTAATTTAGAAATGTGCCAATTGGTTGATTCTTTGAGAAGAGTTCAAATGCACCAAGAGCATTGAACATAGTCACTAGTTTGTCTTGGGCTTCCATAAGAAGTAATTCAAGATGTTATGTGTTAGTTTGTAACTTTATATTTGGTGTATGATATATTTGTTGCATGGTAGTTAGATTTGTCACCACATATTTTCAGGCTTGGAGTTTGTGGAGAGAAGAAAGAGCACTAGAACTATGCGATTCAACTATGGAATTACAATCACATTCAGGATTTGAGAAAGATCAAGTAATGAAAAGTATACAAGTGGGTTTACTATGTGTGCAGGAGAAAGCCGAAGATAGACCAACAATGGCAGCTGTGATATTGATGTTGAAAAGTGAAGGGGCTTTGCTTCCCCATCCTAAATCGCCCGGGTTTTGCGTGATGGATAAAAGGCATGTAAAACCAAATTTATCTTCTAATATTGATAATGATGATCAAACTTTGAACAAACTTACAATCACCAATTTGGATGGTAGATAACGAATGATTCATTGCCATGTTTGTATATTTTTGTTACCATAGTTACTACACAATTTTGGGAATTGAATGATTTATTGAATGTTTGGCATTTAGTAACTAAATAAATACTTGTAGATTATTAATCTAATCTTTTTTAATTACTTGATGTATTGATAAGCAAACTCTGGCTAAGCTTTTCTTAGTAACAAGCTAAGTTACGAACTAATAATTGAGTTTGGGTTAGTAGAGCATATACTTCCTACGTTCCATAATTCTTGCAACATTGTGATTTTTACACTATTCACAGATCTTATATTGACCATGATTTTCTACTAATATACATAATCAAATTATTTCGTATAAAATGTTATTGAACTCTTATCAATGTGAATTTCCAAAATATCAACTTTTTGTAATGTTTACTAATACATAATTAAATATAATTACAGTCAAAGTTGTGCATTGACAAACATGAAATTCAAACTGTTGCAAGAATTATGGAACGGAGGATAGTACATAACTCACTTTAGTATGTTTTTATTATTGGACATATATCACACGTGCTTCAAGAAAGAGGACATTAAATAAATTGCCGATTCAAATGGGAGGTGAAATGTGGGTGGGGGAGTGGGCCAAATTACCAAATTGGTATAAGAAAAAGGAAAAATTCACATAAATAATTTGAACTATTAGTTATATTCTAATATTAATCCCAAATATGAGTAATTCCAAAATAATCCGAAATGGAGGGAGTATCTTCCCATATTGATCCGTATTTACCTTCAACTTGTTTAACCGGTAAAAAAGTGAATAATTAAGCTCCTGGCATTGGATAGCCTGTCGGTTGGTTTCCTTTCCTCTAAATCATGCCAGCACATCCAAATTCGAAATCAAACTCCTTTCTCTCTTAAAGATTGATTTTTTTCATCCTCAAATTTTAAGTTTGTGATTTGGATTTCACCCTTCTCGTGTTTTTATTTTATTTTATTTCGGCTTGTTCAATTTCAACATTAGCACTTTGAATCTGGTGGCTGATTTCAAGAGACATCAGAAATATTGAGCTCTCTCCTGACACCGGCGCCGTTAGGATACAGTCAGGTAGAGGAGAAATATTTTCGTCAAATTGGAGATATAGGATGGTGAGAAGACTAGCTTTAGGTGACATTCGTTTTCATCATCTACCTATCCAGTTCATCATAGTCGCTTCTCATGTCTGTTTGAGAAAGCTTAGCATCAATACAACATTATACACACACCCACTTCCTCCTAAGCGGTGGTAAATTTCAAACCGTCGTCCCGTGTAGAGACTGATAGAATCAAAGCCCGAGTCAGCGAAGTGACTAACGGAGGTAGAAGAAAACCAGACGGTGCAACCATGACTAATTTTAATTCTTTTGTATTAACCATTCGAGTGCCATTAAGGGACTGGGACAGAGGTTATTAAATGATAGATTTTAAACTGATAAAAAAGATGTTGGTTAAGTTGTATCCAAGATAAGAAAAGGGAGAATGGTTCAATGGTATAAATCATTGTTGCAGACGGAAGAAAATGTTCACGAGAAAGAAGAAATGGAAGGGAAGAAAAGGGTAAGTAAAGAAAGAAAAGAAAAGAGGAAAATTATGGCCAATAAAAATAAAACACGCCTCTGGGTAACCGGGTGAATTGGTTAATGACTTAATGCAAGTCAAGGGATCATTTTGAGAATGTTACCCTTAAAGTTCAAATTATATTAGAATAATCCATATGTTGGATTAATATTGGAAGACTTTTAATAGTTCGGATTATTCATGTGAATTTTTCCTAAGAAAAAACAGGGCGATTTACCAAATTGGCAAAAAAAAAAGCTACTTGAGACATATTAGTAAAAAAAAGAAGCCCTAGTAATAAATTGGTTAATTTTTTGTGATTAAGACACTTTTGGTTCTCGACTTTAGAATTCTCAATATTTCATATCCTAAGTGTTTTTTTTTTGATCATATATCCTAAGTGTTGTAAATTGATATTTTCAGTCATTCTACTGTGACTTTATCATAAAAAGTGGATGACTAAAAATGCAAGAGTCGTGTTTGATTATATCAGTTGTTTGCTAGCTAATAGCCAGTTCAATTAGCAGGTTGCTATTAGCGAGTTCGATCTGTTTGCTTTTTTTAACTAACCATTTTCATTAGCGGTTTAAAATAAAATGTTAGTAATTTAACTGATTGCGACTAACTGTTAAGACGTAAAATGACCACTATCATTTTTAACATATGTACATTAACGTGAGCATACACATATAAATTTATTTATTTTTAGTATTAATATTTTAAATATGACTATTTTATAAGTTTTTTAAAAAAGCTTCTTACAAAAAAGAAAAAGTATTTCATATAAAATAGGGTTTTCATATGGAGTAGAATTTTTAGTCAAATCTTTGTAGTAATTAATATTTTATTCCGATTAATGTTGTAAACCAGATTGAGACTGATTTAATTATTTATTGAGAAGCAGTTTTTTACCAAGAATAAATAAATAAATGTTGAAACACATTTACAAGGATGTTTGCAAATAGTAAGATTGAAAATAAGGAATTGCCATAAATAGGAATAAAACATGATTAAAATTCCAAAATAGGAGTTAAAGTATTAAATTCCCAAAATGGGACTCAGATTAAATTCCCAACTCCTGTAATTTCTCCCTCCCCATCAACCACCACCTCCATCGATTGCAGCCCCTCTATGTGAATCTGCCATGGACAACAACTTCCCCCCACGGGCTGCGGTTCTCTGATCATCGAAGCCAGCCACACATGTGTTTTGTGATTTTTCCGGCGAAGTCGATCAAGTATTCTTCCTCTTCTTTTTCATCTTCTTCCTCCTCCTGTTCTTCATCTTCTCTTCCTCCTCCTTCACTTCTTTCTTCCTCCTGGTTCTCTGTTTTAGTTTTGTCAATTAATATGATTACTTTCAAAATCCTAAATAAAATTTTGGATTTGAAAATTTTAGATGAAGAGTCAAATTTCTATGAACAACAAGTGAAAGAAATGCGTTTGAATTTTTATGTAATTATCAATTTTAAATACTTTAAAATATGAGAACATCCTATTATGTATTAGAAAAATGCCACAACTATCAGTTTCATGACATTAAACGTATAAAGATGTCGGTTTTATTACATAATTTCCTATGAAAAATGCCACATCTATCATATGAAAATACATTTATTTTCATCTAAAATTTATATATTTTTATAGCAGAAAATGTCATGGTTATGTCACAACTCTGTTCTTGGTTCTCTACTTTCTTTTTAATTTGAATCTCAAAATGCCCCGACTAATGATTCTAAAAAAATGTCACTTTTTGAATCAAAGAATGTCATAATTATTGGTTATTTTTAAAAATGTCAATTCTGTGTCATTACAGTATTTGGAAATGCCACATTGAGAATGTAACGTTTCTATAGGAAATTGACATTCTTGTGTCATTATGCATATTAAGTGGCATTCTCGCATATCAAGTGGCATTCCTCATGGAGGTTTGCACAGACTCACTGGAGGGCATATCCTTATCGGAGAAGGATGGAAGCGTACTCGCTAAGGGGCGGTGGCGGCGGTGTGGTAGCAGACTTGATGGAGGATGGGCGGATGGCAGAGGGCTCCCAGGTCCAGGGTTGGGCCGAGACGCCGAGTAGTCTCTGAAAGACCTCCCTATATTCGAGATATGAATGTTGCGGCCTTAAGGTTGGAGGATGGTTCAGCTTGGAATGTTGAGCGGATCCCTTCTCTTTTTATTTCAGAAAATTGCAGAAGGATTCTCAACATCCCTATAAGTATGTACCGGCAAGATGATACTGTTTGGTGGGGCGGGGAGAAGGATGGCACGTTCACAGTTAAGAGTTGTCACAGGTTACAGGCAGGACCGAGACCGGGGTTGACGAGTGAGTGGCTTGGTTGTACAAAGGTGTGGGGATTACAAATACCGCCAAAGGTAAAAATCTTTTTCAGGCAAACCATGACGGGAAGGGGGGTTGATATACAACCAGAATGTATACTTTGTGGGCGGGTTGAAGAAGAAACATTAATGCATGCTTTTCATTGATGCATTAAATCGCAGGGGTATGCAAATAGCAGGTACTGGTTTTGACATTTCAGCTCCAAGTTTGACAGACTGGGTTAGAAAACTTTTGGAGGGGAAAGATGATGAGACATGGTGCAGATTAGTTATGATATTTTGGAGCTCGAGGAAAATGAGAAATGAGTTGGTTTGAAAAGGTGTGAATCAAGATGAAAGGGCAGTTTAAAGGGGGGAAGATGCTATGTTGAAGGGCTGGAGTGAAGCTCAAATTCCAGCAAGTACGAGGCAGCAGCTTGGGGAAAATCAGAGGGCTCGATGGCAGCGACCTGGAAAAGGACGGGTTAAAGTGAATGAGGCATGGAACGAGGAGGGGGGCAGACTGCCAGACGGGCTTGGGGCTGCATCACTCGGGATTCACATGGTATGTTCTTTGGGGCTAAGGATGTTTTTACTTGGACTGATTTCATCCTATACCATACCAAACATAAACAGACCAAACTAAACAAGACCAGACCGGATCAGACTTAAATAGACCAAACATAAACAACAAGTTTCAGTGCAAGTAAAACCATCCTCAAAGCGGATCCAAGAGGAATTTGGAGGCTTTAATATGGGCAGTTCAAGTAAGTTGGAGGCATGTGGACATCGAGACGGATGCTCTAGAAGTAGTCCAAGCGGTGAATAGGGACACAGAAGGTCTTAAATGGACCTTTGGGTGGATGATATTAGACATCTATTGAAAGAGAATTCATCTTTTTCTCGAACATTTTATAAAAGATCTGCAAATCGTCTCTCATATATTTGCAAGGGCTAGCGTTCTTTTGTCAAATCTTAGTAGTAACCACGATTTTATTCCGATTAATGTTGTAAACTAGATTGAGAATGATTTAATTATCTAATGCAAAGCAGTTTTTTTCCAAAAATAAAAAATTAAATAAATATTGAAATAACACATCTACGGATGTTTTCTTTTGGACTGAAATTTGCTGGTCTGGTCTGGTCTTGTCTGTTTAAGTCTGGTCGGGTCTGGTCTGTTTAAGTCTGGTCTGGTCTGGTCTGAATTGGTCTGGTCTGGTAACATCTGGTCTCTGTGTATTTTATAACTACGGAAGTCTGGTCTGGTCTGGTCTGTTTGGTCTGGTCTGGTCTGGTCTGTTTAAGTCTGGTCTGGTCTGGTCTGGTCTGTTTAAGTTTGGTCTGGTCTGGTCTGGAACTGAAAACATTCCAAAAGAAAACATCCTTAGTATACAGTTGAGACAAAGGCTTCGCTTGCATTACCCAAATAAAAAAAAAATGGCTGGTTAAAGTTAAGAAAAATGAAAAGGAAGGAAGAAGTGCTGGGGATGAAGATGGGAAGGCAAGAAAAACTGCTGCTTGCCCAGTTGCCTTGGCATGCCGGTGCTGCTCTAATGCTCGGACCAATACCAGACACGTCACCTACAACATGCTGTAATACTACCTACCTCGGATTCATAAATTCAGAAGACTTGTTCTCAGAACTTACAAGTCACTATTGCTTAGCTACTGGTGCATTTAATGTTGGGCCAGTCAGAAAAGCTACAATCCACCATTTAGCTATCTGTTTCTTTCTGTACAGGTTGTTGATAAGCTTAAATTAAAGTTGCCAACTGAAGAAACCTGAAAATATGGGAAGGCAAACATGGCCTTACTTCTCAAGATTGTTATGGTTTCTGGCTTTGTCTTCTCTTGTTTTCTCCTATGGACTCAATGATACTCTTACCTTCAACCAAACCCTCAAAGATGGGGAGTTCTTAACCTCAAATGCGGGATCTTTTGTTCTTGGATTCTTCTCCCCTGAAAATTCTTCCGGCAAACGGTACGTCGGAATTTGGTTCAAGAAAATCCCAGAACAAACCGTCGTTTGGGTGGCCAACAGAAACAGCCCCGTCAACGGAACAACCGGAATCCTCTTCATCGACGTCGCCGGAAATCTAGTCGTGAAAGACAACAAAACCGATGCTTCCGTCTGGAACACGAGTCTTTCTTTCCCGGCCACCGGAAAAAACGTTTACTCTGCTCTTTTACAGGACACCGGGAATCTAGTCCTGTATAGCGATCCGGATAGACGAGTTAATGCATGGCAGAGTTTCGACTACCCGACCCATATTATCCTTCCTCACATGAAATTCGGGGCCGACAAGAAAACCGGGTTGAACAGGTATCTTACGTCGTGGAAGTCGCCGGCAGATCCGGGGTTGGGTCAGTATCAATTCAAAATGGATCTTAACGGGACGCCCCAGATTTTTCTCTACAGTGGGTCCGACCCGGTATGGAGAACCGGCCCATGGAGCGGAGTCGGGTGGAGCGGCATACCCGAGATGTCCCCAAATTACATCTTCAACCTCGACTACACAGAAAACGACGACGAGGTCACCATGAGTTACTGGATCCGAGACCCGTCCATACATTCCATATTCGTTTTGAACGAATCGGGTACGGTGAATAGGCTGACTTGGCAAGGAGACGGTGTGAACAAATGGGTCGGGTTCTGGTCCGCACCGAAAGACCGATGCGATGCATACGATCACTGCGGTGCGTTCAGCAATTGCAACACCGACAACCCGGGCGTGTTTGAGTGCAGTTGCCTTCCCGGATTCCGGCCGACGTCCAGCCGGGAATGGTACCTGAGAGACGGCGACCGCGGCTGCCGGAGGAACAACACGGAGGTTTGCGGTAAGGGGGAAGGGTTCCGGCAGATGGCGCTCGTGAAAATCCCAGACACGCAAACGGCGCGTGTGAACAGGAGCGTGGGGCTGAAAGATTGTGAAGAGATTTGCTTGAAGAACTGTTCTTGCAGTGGGTATGCAAGTGCTAATATTAGTGAGGGAGGGAGTGGGTGCATCACTTGGTATGGTCCCTTGTTAGATATCAGACAATTCACAAAGGGAGGCCAAGATATGTATATTAGAGTCTCTGCATCTGATTTAGGTATCTATCTTGATTTACCATAATTTAGAGAATTCACATATGATTGTGTTACCCACTTTTTGTTCCAAGTTACTGTTTTTTCTTGAATTTGAATACATATTTTCCATTTCAATATGCAAAAAGCCAATTTTGATTCAGAAAGCATTTTTATTTATTTTTATAACTCACTCTAGAGGGAGAGTTCATGTACCTTATTGGCTTGCAGTTCAGGTTGTGAAGAGATCCAAAGGGCTTCATGGGAAAAGGCTTATTGTCACTTATGTTTTGCCTATTGCTGCAGTTCTTCTTGTACTCTGTTGGGTGATGGTAAAACTCAGAAGAAAAGGTATAACCAAATTTTCTTATAGTACTTTATTTTGAAACTTGATCTAGTTAACTTTGCCTAATACAGATATGCGATTTCATTTTAACATTTACTTCTTCTTTGAGGATAATGAATTGTTTCGTCTCGGTAGGGATAGATTTAAAAAGGATAAGGGTGTGAAAATTGAAAATGCAACATTGCCCTTCTATAAGACTATGATTAAAACAGTGCTATAATGATATATACATGGACAGAGTCTGGTTGTAATTTTTACCTTCCAAGTGAATGAAAAGTTTTACGGAGTATCATGTTAGAAAAGTCCATGATTCAGAGAATCATTCCCAGGCCTTGTTCTTGCATGCTTTTATGGTCTAAAAACTAATGTAGTGTTCGAAGCATTAATTTTATTGTTGATGATGAAGCTCATGTATTAGTGTTTAAATATCTCTAGGTAAGAAATCAGTGCCCAAGGATACGAGTACTAGTTTAAAACCCTCGGATTGGTCAGTTTTTGGGAAAGATGAGGATGAAACTGGGGAATCAGATGTGTTAGTGTATGATCTCAATTCAATTAAAGCTGCCACTGATAACTTCTCTGATGCCAACAAGCTTGGTGAAGGCGGATTTGGTTCTGTATACAAGGTAACCACTTGTGTAGCGCTATTTGTATTGTTTTCAATTGTTTTCTGCTAATACCCAAATTGGCTAATGAGTATCACAATTTCATATAATTAGTAGAAGATATTAGGGGTGTTTTGTGTTTGCACCCTGTTTTATATGACAAATTAGACTATGCACCCTAAATTCAATATCCTTAGTATTTGCACCCTAAATTAAATTGGGCTGTTAGTTAGACTTCTAAAAATACATGAATGACAATAATACCCTCCTGTCAGCTAAATAGAACACAAAACCCAGACTTCCAAGTTCGGTGGGAAGCTGGGAGGGAATTCAACCGAAAGGAAATTTGTTCAAATCTACCTTCTCGCTGCTGCTGGTGGATAGATTGGCAATTCACATTACCTGGTACACACAAAACACATGCTTCCCACACAACTCTAAAGCAGGGCTACAGAACACAAAACTCAAGCTGCAAAAAATCCCATAAGTATATAACACAACATAAGAAATTTATATTGAATCAAGTGCACTGCTTTAACATATACCTTCAGACGTTCGTCTAGGTGCTACTGAATCCACCAATATGTTATTGCAACCTTCATTCATCCCAACCCTAACTCAGTCTATGCACCTTAGGAACGGTGAGATGATTCAGAATGACGAAATATGAGAAAGAAGAATGCCTCAGGACGGTTTGTTACTTGGCTAAGGGCATTACAGTCATTTCGTAACAAAGTTAACTTCTTAACAGCTAGAAAACGGAGACAGGGTGCAAATACTAAGGATTTTAAATTTAGGGTGCATAGTCTAATTTGTTCTATAAAACAGGGTGCAAATACAAAATATCCCAAGATATAATCAACAACCTTGTAGGCCTGGCCACACGTCCTCCTACTTGTACTCTCTTTTCCCGCAAATTATACCGTGGGATCAGCCCACCGTGCGCACGGTGTGCCGATCCCAAAATGGCGTCATTTTATTGATCACAAAACCAGAGCCGCTTCATCAATAGATCTATGCGGGAGCAAAATAAAAACAGAGCAGCAACGTCGATCTTCGTGTGATCAAAAGAGCATTGATTGGCAAAAAAAAGAGCAGCATGGGACTGAATTTCTCCATTATCTTGATTTTGTGGATCAATCCTTTCAAATCGTTATCACCAACCTGCAGGCACTCCTTCTTTAAGCAACCCTCCTTAACCTCTTTCCTCACCAGCTTCATTAATTCAGCCAAAGCACCCTGAATTTCCACCATTTTCAAATAGAAATAACTTACGGATTGACTAAACGCCTTCTGCAGTCTAGAAGAAGGTGTAGCTATATAATAGTGTGTATTTTTGGCCGGAAGTTACATGTCTGTAAAGGCATTTTACATTTCAAAGGGTTGAAGTTACATTTCGTAGGCTACATCTGACTTGCTTCCGCGTTACATTTCAATTAAAGCAATTTACATTTCAATGAGTTACATCTGAATGAGTATAATTTACATTTTGATATATCTGAAGTTACATGTAGATTCACACGATTTACATTTCGTATAACCTTGGGAGCAGGATGCTCACCATGCACCGCTCCCACGGTATAGCAACTGCTCTTTTCCTATCAATAAAATAAACCTTTTATTTTAAAAATCGAATCAACAACGTTGTTTCAAATAATTTTTAACACTTATCATAATATAATATTAGGGAATATGAATTGTTTTACAACCAATGAATTTGTGATTAAGATTAGGCATGGGCACAGTTTGGAACAATTAACAGATCTTTGGGATGGCACGGGACGTGACCTTAACCTATTCTGGTCCCATTTAAATTAGGACTGAGACGATTCGCAACAGTTTGGGACAACTCAAAGTAGCAATGAAAATTAAACAAAATAACGGAATTAAAAAATGACATCTAGTAATGAGAAACTCATACAAAATCATCATCATTTACCCCAGTGCCGCAAAGGCTCCCACCTACGGTGGGGTAAAGGGGGGTCGGATGTACGCAGCCTTACCCCTGTACTAACTAAAGCACAAAGAGACTGTTTCCGGATGACCCATAGTGAAAATCGCGTCCAAAATTGCATGGACTAACTGCTGCTTCATAACAAAGAAGCGCAAACAGTTTAGTGAGCCATTTTGCTTTATTCCATCATATTCTCAAGCCAAAAAATAGTGAATCTTTGGCTCTATTGCAAATGGTGGAAATAGAGAAACTCATACAAAATATAGAGTGAAATAGAACTCTTTACTAGATTACAAGTAGATACTTATGTTTGGTATTATTTTTTTAATTTAGGATTTGGGCTTGTAAAAATGAAAGCACACTATATTTATTTTTTATTCTTTCACTACAAAATAAGTCAAATCCTAAAAAAAAAATATAATCTTACAAATGGGACAAGTGGACAACGTAATGAGATGACACGAGGCAACCTTCTGATGGCTCAATCCTGCCCCTTTCAAAATCAATACGGGAAAAAAAGATCTGGTCCTAAACAAAATGAGACAATATCGAAATTGTTCTGGCATATTTTGGAAGGGGGCAACGGGATTAAGATTTTTGCCTACCCCTGTTTAAGATTATCAAGATTATCGAAATTGGTCTGACATATATCGATAAAAGTAAAATGTTGCTATTTCTAAAAGCTAATGACAATTTATTGGGTTGTTTGTGTTTTTGTAGGGGAAGTTTGAGAATGGACTGGTTGTAGCAGTGAAAAGACTGTCAAAAACTTCTGGGCAGGGGACAATTGAATTCAAGAATGAAGTTACACTTATAGCAAGGCTCCAACATAGAAATCTAGTACGACTTTTAGGATGTTGCATTCAACAAGACGAAAAACTGCTGGTATATGAATACTTGCCTAACAAGAGCTTGGACAGTTTCATATTTGGTGAATTTCCATCTCACTTCTCAAATTCTTACAAAAAATATTACTACTTATATAATATTCTCACAAGTCGGTTATTAAAAGCATAAATACATGAAAAAGTTTATGTTCGTCTTGCAGATAAAACAAATAAGATATCTCTAGATTGGAGCAAACGCTTTGAGATCATCTTGGGAATTGCTCGAGGATTGTTATATCTCCATCAAGACTCTAGGTTGAAAATTATTCATAGAGACTTGAAAGCTAGTAACGTTTTGTTGGATGCCACCATGCAGCCGAAGATTTCTGATTTTGGAATGGCTAGAATATTTGGAGGAGACCAAATCGAGGCAAATACGAATCGAGTTGTTGGGACATAGTAAGTTTACTTTATTATTGTTCCGGAAACCCGACTTGAGAAAAATTGTTAGAAATGGACTGCGTTCAGCCGTTCATCGTTAACTCATTAACTCATTTTGTTATTGATCAACTGCAGTGGCTATATGTCTCCAGAGTATGCGATGGAGGGTCATTTTTCGGTGAAGTCTGATACCTTTAGTTTTGGTGTTATGTTATTGGAAATTGTGAGTGGGAGGAAAAACAAGAATCAGTTCAATGTAGGCTCTTTGAATTTAGTCGGCGATGTAAGTGTCTCGCAATAAACGAAATATATAGTATAATTATTTTGAGAACTACTTGGATATACTTGATCCTTTTGACATGCATTGCTTTCCAGGTTTGGGATTTCTGGAGGGAAGGAAGGCCGTTGGATATGATTGATCCATCATTGGTGGCATCATATGATGAACGGGAGGCTTTGAGATGCATCCATGTTGGTCTGTTGTGTGTTCAAGCACTTCCTAATCACAGACCGTTCATGTCAGAAGTTGTTTTCATGCTAAGCAATGAAACAACACTTCCTCAGCCAAATCCACCCGGGTTTGTATTCAATCAAGGAGTTCCTGCTCTAAGTTCATCTTCAATGAGTGCAGAAAATCAATCTGTCAATGATGTGTCGATTACCAAAATTGAAGGTCGGTAAATATTAGACTAATTGCGTCCGTTGGGTGTGATGAAAAATGTAAAATATGTAATGATATGTACATACATACATACGTGTGTGTATATACACGAGGTATTGGAAAAAAAAATACATGAGGTATTGGATTGTCTTCTATTGTTGAACGAGAGAAAGTAATCAAGGTAAAAAGACCAAAATATTGAGGGAGGTTTTAAATGGCACCAAAATAATGTTTCAAAACTCCTTTGTGGTAACCTCCAGTTGTTTGAAATTGCAAGTTCTGAGATGTCCTCTGATTCACAGCAAATAAGCACAAGTTTATTTTCAATATATTTAATCTATACAAAATACACAAGAATAAAAACAAGGGAACAAAGTACCCTGTTTAAGGATCGTGTAGCTTTGGTAACAGCGTCCTTTGTCTGACAAAGGGTCTTGGAGGCTACAATTTGCCTCATCGTACAAGATATGGACCATTTGGTACAAAAGGTGAAGCAGTGAAGGTGATAACAAATTGTGAAATTTATGATGATATGAACTAACAAATTACGTTCTTATCAATACTATTTTGAGCCTATTGGTTTTGAACTAAAAATTAGTATAGTTAAAAACCAGTAAATATTGACAAAACTGAATTCGTGTGAAAAACTCATATGGATGCTATTATGCTAAACAACCTATGCATTTCGTACCCATTTTTGTCTCTCTGGATTATGTTCTATCAGGAATCTAAAACCAAGTTAGCAAAAAATTTCACCGAAAGAACTCTACAATAACATAATCACAATAATCAACATATTCACACACAACTCTATAATCGGGGACTGAGTGTCTCATGCTCAGAGTTTAGCAATGAAAGATATGAGGGGTTTTATTTCATTGCAAACCTTAATATAAAATTAAAAGAAATCGAGAACAAGAGCATCTTCATGCAAATTTCATCATTAATTGATTCCATGAGCACAAATATAGTTTACCTAAACCAAAACACACATTAACTTGATATAATGGTATCATAATTGATACTACGTAGTTTACTAAGCTACTTGATACTACCCTCCGTATCATAATAGTTGCTCTACTCCGATTCATGTGCTCTACTTTAACTACATTTTATTTAATAACGTATGTGAATTATTCTTTTTAAGAAATATTGTTAAATTCGTCTCATTGCAAAGTTCAATAATCTGATTTTTAAAGTTTTTTTTTACTTATAGAAAATTACATATAATGACGGTCAAAGTTGTGCATCAGCAAACGTGAAAAAGTGAATGTTGCAACAAAAAAAGAACGGAGCGAGTATTTGTTAACTTGAAATAGCAAGAGTAGAATACTAGCACATCAAAACTAACTGGGAGTTGAAAGAATTTATGAAAGCTCCCCCTAAATAAAAGCATATAAGAACATAAAGCTTCTCATTTGAGAAACAATTTAAGGGACATGTTAATAACAAGCACGTTTGATTTTGATGAGTTCAAATGATATCATTTCCTCTTACTATCTGATATGTGCTACTACCTCTGTCGCAAAATACGTAGCCAAATCTTAAATATTGGATCATGATTTTGATTAGTATAATATTATGAAAGTTATAAATTTTATATTTTTATGAAAGTACTTTTAGAGAACATTTTCATATCAGTTTTACATTATAAATAATTTTCAATAGATGTGTATATAATTGGTCAAAGTTTTGAATGGTTTTAGAATGGTTTTACGTTGTGTTTGCTCAATTTTTGTATAATTACGTTGTAATCATTATCTTCTAAATAAGACTGGAATTAGAAGATATTACGAGATTTTGACATGTTTTGTTTTGATACCTTTAGTTTGCTTTTTCAATTATCAAAAGCAAGAGATACATGTAGTCCCTTTAATTTGATACCTTTAGTTTGCTTTCTCAATTTTATTACCAAGGCTGATTACCTCCGTTTACTTTTATGTATTATGCCTACACATACACGAAAAGCACTATTCCATGTGTACTAGTGGTAGGAACTCTACTATGCTATACTATGTATTAGCCCTTCGTAGTAACTTTTTTATGGGAATATGTATGAAGCAAAGATTTTGAAATATCAAAAGATTAATATAGAGTAGGTTATCACGTTCAAAGATATTTGGTAGATTTTAAATAAATTTATTGAAATAGAATATTTAAATGTTTTGAAAATGTTTTTTACCTAAATAACATATGACCATAGTACGATAACATGACAACGTGTCCATGACAGAAAATTATGTCTTTAGTTCAGATTTTAAAAACTTATTATTGAAATAATATTATGGCAATCCTTGTAACGGTTGAACAGAATGACCAAGTCAATGAAGTCAAATAATAATGTACATCATACACTAGCTAAATAATCACTACTAGCATCGTTAGAAGATTACACAAAAAGCATTGTAAAGAGACAACTAAAGAATGTGATACAACAAAAAGTAGTACAAATGTCATACTATCGTATATAAGTTTAAGAAGCCATAGATTAAATTTGAAATTTTCATTTACTGATGTATGGAGATATATCAGTTCATACAAAATGGAGATTTTTGAAATGAAAGGTATGATCAAAGATTATCACAATCAACAACAAAATTGTTTTTTCGCACGTGTATTGTGCTAAAAATGGTCAAGGCTTCACTTTTGATGAAAACGATTGAGTGTTCCGATCCAATACAAACATAAAAAATGATGTTTGTACCCACTTATATACCCATTTTTATATACACTCATGTTTGTGAAGGTTTTTTTGTCTATAAATTCCGTTCACAAACAAAATATGACATATTTTGTCTGTGAACAAGACTCACAGACAAAAAAACTCTTCACAGAGGTGGCTTCATGTAATTAAGCCATAAATTAGTTTATGGCTAAATTAGTGTTCAATAAATAATTTGGATCTTTGAAAGTGTTGTGGGCTTGGCATTGTGGGCACGTAATCTTAAGAACACCAAGATGATAAAGGGAATTCAAACATAATACCAGAAAAAGCACCTTTACGAGAATTTTCACAAAAGTTAAGGTTGAAAATTGGTGAATATTCAAGACTGGAGTATAAAATTATTTTGCATCAAGTATAATGATATATGCATAAGGTTTGTAAAGTTCTGAAATATCTTTTGAAATGATGACAATAATAATAATACATCAAAAGTAGTAGAAGTCATATTTATTACCATGAGAATGGATCGGGAAAGGTTGGAAGTGGAAGAAGCTATGTAGGAGCTTAGTTAAGATTTTAAGAATATAATGGTTAAAACTTAAAGTAAGGAAACTTCTCCTATTCAGATACATCCCTATTTGGTAGTCACTAATTAAGTTTTCTACTGGCTAAAGGGTCAAATAGGTCCCTGTACCGGTCGTGTAAGCTCAATTCAGTCTCTGAACTAAAAAAGAGTTCAATTCACATCCCGAACCGACAAAAAATTGTTCAGATTTCATTTTTATGGGTAAACAACCGGTCATTTTTTTAATTTTTTATTGTTTCTGTTTTTATTTTTGATTTATTGCAATTTTGACACTTTTTAATAGTTTAGGAGTGTGAATTGGACCTTTTTTTAGTTCATGTACTGACTTGAGCTCAGGGCCGGTCCTGGAATATTGAAGGCCCTGTTCAAAATTAAATAAAAGGCCCTATATTATTAATATAAAAAAATCATATTATCTCCGTCTCAATGTTAAAGTTAAATCTTCCCTATTTATAATTAATTCATTTTTAATACGGAGTAATTAAAATTTACATATTCCCAAACTACATCAAAATCTCAATAAAATGTTAAAATCCAAGTTAAAGTTTAATTAAGAATTGATATCTCAATTAAATGAATAAAATGAATTTGTTTGACTTAAAAAAGTCAATTTTACAACTCAACTTGAGGCTGATGAAGTAATTATATATAACTTATGTAGTTAAAATAATAAACTTAAAAATACAAAAGGTAAGTATAAATGTAATGAAAAACTTATTTTGATTGCTAAGTGCTAACAAAAAATATCATAATAAATGAAATTCAAATTAATAATAATTGATATAGCTAACCATAAGAAAATAAAGAAAATAAGTTAAGTAACTTACAAAAGTATATACGGTAGTAAAGTAATACGTAGTACTCCGTACTATATGCTAGTGTGGTACCAAACGGTAATAAAGTAAAAAGATACTTTATACTAGTATTTGTAATGCTAGTGACGAATTTTTATCAACTAGTTCACTTGGTAAGCGGGTAGGCCATCTACTATTTCCCTTAGGCAATGCAAGTTCGACTCCCACATGGAGCGGGTTCTTTATTTGGTTCGGGCTAATTATTTTAACTATTGTTGGGCCTCCGCCCAAACCGGGCCTTCCGCCCGAGTTGGGCCCTGTGCGACCGCACAGCTTGCACAGCACCAGAGCCGACCCTGCTTGAGCTTATACGGCCGGCACAGAGGCCTATTTGACCTTTAGGCTTTTGTTAAAAGTAGAAGGCCGAGTTTACGTCTCTATGGAATGGAAACAGTTTATATATATTTGGTCCCAATGTATAAAATTCAAAGAATTAAAGGGTTGGAACCGTTAAGAATTTAAGTTTGAAAGCTAAAATAGTTTTTTTGAATCCGGAATAAAAAAAAAAATTTGAATCGGTTTGTTGAGTAACCTTGAAATTTTTTGGTTGAGTAAAAATAACAACTGGATGACCGCTTGTAAATTTTTATGATGAAGAGTGGACTTATGAATTCATTTTAGTCCGACATGTAGATAATGTGGCTCATTATATTATAGCCTTTCTAGGTACATTCAACTAGCTAGTGTATCAAATCTCCCTGTTAAATACTTCGTACTTAAATACATGCAACTCTGAACTCTCAATATTTTCAAATTTATTGGCAAGTACTGTTCTCAAATCTATGAGAAAACAGGGACATTGTTAAAGAAAGAAATAGGAAGAAATATGCAGTAAGTTATTACTAACATTTTTGAGAATATGCTTTGAGAGAAAAATTTCTAGGAAGATATATATAAAGAGAGAGGAAACTTCATGTCAGGCCGGCCTGACGGGCTGCTCCGTCCGGCCGAGCCCGTTTGGGCACCTTCCCGTTGGAATTTTTTGATGAAATTTTTTGAGCGTGTTCCTCATCAAGTCTAGTTTGCCCATACCAAATTTCAGCTCAAAATTTGATCGTGAAGGCATTCAAATTATTTTTTGAAGTTGACTGCAGTTTTATATGTACGTATATTTTGACGCAGTCAACTTCAAAAAATGATTTGAATGTCTTCCGAATCGAATTTTGAGCTGAAATTTGGTATGAACAAACTAGACTTGATGAGGAACATGCTCAAAAAATTTCATCAAAAAATTCCACCGGGAAGGTGCCCAAACGGTCTCGGCCGGACGGAGCAGTCCGTCGGGCCGGCCTAATGAGAAGAGCTCTCTCTCTCTCTCTATATATATATATATATATATATATATATAGAGAGAGAGAGAGAGAGGAAAGACCAAGTACAAACTGTGCTTATTGTGCAAATATTTGTACGATGCACCTTAACGTTCTTTGTATTGCATATTGAGGTTCAAAGTAGTGCATATTATTCAGCCATAAAATAGCAGTTGCACATTAACGTTCAATGAGTTGCACCCTAAAAAGTTGGGTTTTATTACAAAAATGCCACCTTGCCTTTATGTCCTTTGGATCAACTCATCGGATGGTCAAGATGAGTTTGTACTTTGTAAATTAAGAAGAGTTTGTATTTGATCTCTATTCTATATATATATATATATATATATATATATATATATATATATATATATATATTACATCCGTCTAAAAAATGTTCGCCATATTGACTTTGCATGATCAATGCGTGATAACAAAATTTGGACAATAATTTTAATTATTATATTTTGTATATAATTTATAAATTTTATACTTTTATGAAAATATTTCGAATAAGGAACACTTTAATATATTTTTCATATTCAAAATAATTTCGTATTAAAAAGTATCATTGATCAGAGTTGATTGCCATTGACCTGGAATGCTAGATCATACCCTTTGTGAACTACGTACGTACAAGTCTGCACGAAAAGAAAAACCATAACTTTGGTAAAATTAATCCATATAAAGAGGAAGTAATATTTATACAATTATACGTAGTAATTTCTTGGTTGCTAAATAAGTGCAAATGTTAAATTTTACACTATTTACATGTTTTAGTTTGACTATATTGTATTTAATTATTAATGTTTTAATAATTTATTTTTAAAAAATTGTTTGGCTGATTGTAGGATTTATTGCTTTATATTTCTTTGAGGCCAATTTGATTAATGGTTCCTTGCACTTTTTACTTTGTTTTTGGTTTGTTTGGGTTAGTGGTTTTTTTAGGTGCTTGTGACTGTTATTTGCCTCGAAGCTTCAGTATGTTTAGCCAGATGTTTCGCTCTTTTTGAAGTGAATCTTTTTTATGTCTAATCAGGGATTGAGAGAACTCTGCGGCTATTTTGAGTTTGTCGTTGTGGTAAAGGTTGCGATAACCTTAAGGATCATAAATAACTACTCTATAATGTCTGTTTGGTAATCGATTAGCGATCCACACTGCTTCTGTGGAGGTAGTTGTCTCACAATCTCATCGTTAGATAAAAGATGGAATTTGTTACATGAGCATCTCATCGTAGGGTTTTATTGAGTTTAAATGGAATCTGTTATAAGAGTCTTGGAGTATGAGTTATTGGTTTAACTGAAAATCATTGATTAGTTTAATATATAGTTGGTGTTTTTCCTTGAAAAAGAAAAATTGTTTTGTATTATTGTCAATTTTCAGAATTTAATTATTTTTAATTCTTAGTCATAACGAATTATATATATATTATGGTCTATTATAATATCTGCTCATATAACTTGCACTTATTATATACTCCGTATATAATAAGGTTATAACTTCAGAAATTACCCTAAATAGGAGTAAAAACGTTTTGAAATTCCAAAATAGGAGTATCATGTTTTTTATTCCCTAAATAGGAGTAATCTGCCAAGTTTGGAAAAAAATGCCATGTTTAAAGCCTTGTAATTTCCAAACTTGGCAGAAATTTACTCCTATTTAGGGAATAAAAACATGATACTCCTATTTTGGAATTTCAAAACTTTTTTACTCCTATTTAGGGAATTCTCTCTTATAACTTGGATGAGATTCAAGAGTGCAGTCTATCTTCGACTTTAGTTGGATAGTATAGTACACTGAGTAGAAATAATGCTCACATGGATCTAATTTAAAAATACGTACCTTATGCATCCATCATACACTCAGTATGTGGCCAAAGTCTGATCAATCAAATCCCTTCAAATTTAATTCTCTCAGACATGGGATGGGGTTCATCGTTCTTTAATTTCTTTTAATCGTTTTTAATTTCTCTTATTTTTTCAACCGAGCTCATGGAATTGGAACTACCATTTGATATACGCACATGTTTGACAAGTTTGATTTTTAGTTTATGAGGCTTACTATCTTTAACAAGACATTATATTTTGGAAAAACTGTCAAATAGGTCCTCAAACTTTCAAAAAAATGTCAATTAAGCTTCTATAGGAGGTTCTGTCCGGCCGTCGCGATTTGGGGTAGTTCCCGGTGGAATTTTTTGATGAATTTTTTTGAGCATCTTATTCACCAAGTCTAGTTTACTCATACCAAATTTCAGCTAAAAATTCAATCGGGAACACATTCAAATAAATTCTTGAAGATAATTGCGCATTTTTGCGTTCTTGAATTAATTTGAATGCGCTCCCGATTAAATTTTTAGCTGAAATTTGGTATGCGTAAACTAGACTTGATAAATAAGATGCACAAAAAATTTTATAAAAAAATTCCATCGGGAACCGCCCCAAATCCCGGCGACCGGACAGAGTCTCCTATAGAAGGACTTAATTGACTTTTTCATTAAAGTTCGAGGACCTATTTGATAGCTATCCCTTATTTTTTTAGATTTTACGGGCTGATTTTATTCGAACATTTTAATAGGTACATTTTGTTGAAAAGGCTAAGATCGTCTAATTTTAACGTTACTCTTATGTAATTTACTACGTATAATATAATTATTATACAATACTCCACTAGACAAATCTCATGAGTATTTGATGAAACCCTTGTATCTACTATATAAATCTCTTACCTCCACATTTCTAAATACTCTCAATTATACATGCAGGATCGTAATACATTTTTGAAAGAAGATAACTTATTTATTAATAATGAAAATAACAAGAGCTAAAGTAATATAATAGCTTAAGACTACACTAGGATGAGACATAGAATCAATTAGCCTTTAAGGACCGTTTGTATCTGTTGGGATATATTATCCCGACCTATTACTGTTCAGGAGCCGAAGACATTATCCAGTACGGAGCCCAAGCAGCTAGGCCCGTTTCGGCCCATTCTGGCCCACTTTAGCCATTTGGGCCCATTCCGGTCCATGCGGCCCATTAGGGTGGAGAGCACCCTTCCCCTTTCCCCTATAAATATGAGGCTTCCCTCCATGTTTTAGGGATCCCTTTTGAGCTCTCCTTCCTCCTTTCTTTTAGACTTAGCTTACAATACTCCATTAATGGGAGCTACAACATATGTACTTTGTAATGGTGAGGAGAGTCCTAATGAGAATGAGAGGGCTTGGACATTAGCCTAAAAAGACCCGTGGTTTTCTCCCTTTCGGGTTTCCACGTAAAAACTGAGTTGTTCATACACATTTATACATATATTTACTATATTGTGTTGGATTAAACTCAACACTGGCGCCGTCTGTGGGAATCTGTCCAAAAAGATTCATGTATTCTATTGTTCTTGAGCTTTTTACAAGAAAAATTCACTGGAAGTGGACTGTTTTTAGCAAAAAAAAAAAAAAAAAAAAAAATCCTGGAAAGCAAGCAGGAGGAAGAATATCTGACGTGAAAGAAAAAGTTCGAGGAAGAAGAACGATTCTGGGAGACTTGGGCCGGATGGATCTTGCTCTGTCAAACTGCCGTCGCCGCAGCACCTGCCCAAACGCCGCCGGAGCATCCGCGGTGTAGTATCTGGGGCTTGCTCAGTCCGCCGGAGTTCGCTGCGCTGGCAGGAGGTCGGAGAAAAGGAGGAAGCAAAGAAGCCACGGAGCCTGGAACTCCAATTCTGGGTTTTTTCCAGACCTGTTTTGGAGTCGCCGGAGCTGCCGTCTCCATTTCCGCCGCCATGGACTCCTCCAGCAAGTGGGACCGCACCAGATGGACCTCCAGCAGCGTTCTAGGCCTCGCCGTCGACAGCACAGTCGCTCATGGCTCGCCGCCGGCCATCGCACAGGTCGCCACACCGCCGCTTGTCGTCAGTGGCCGACTGCCGGTCACTCCTTCACCTCGTCAGTTTCCCCCGAGCACTCCATCACCACCTTCACAAGGCAGCACGTACTCTCTACTGGAGACGTGTTCTTCCATCTGCCTCTCCAAAAGGTTCTCTTTATTTGGATGGAGGATGACCACGTCGAAGGAAAATGAAAGGGAGTAGAGCCATTGTATTATTGGAATGGTCAACAAGTGGTGCTGACTTCTATCACTTGCAGTACTTTGGACGAGCTCCTCAAGGAATAACTCCGAATAAAGCTCGGATTCCTATTCTCCAAGAGATAAGTCCCGAATAAACTCCCTCATTTTCTATTGAATGTTGAATGGTAGAAATTGCCTTATTACTCATATTTGTTATCACCTTTATTTATTAGGGAATAGAATTTCCCGAAATTAAATAATGTCGAGCGATGCTCTAAGTGATAAATAGCTTCACCGTCGTTTAAATTAGATGACTGGTTGTTGTGGGCCCATCGGCCCGCTCCTGATCGGCTTTAATTAGCGATCGGGGCATATCTGAATGACCGACCTATGGTAGGATAACATCACTATTATTTATTAGGGATAAAAATGACCCGAATTAAATAATGCAGAGCGAAGCTCTAGTGATAATTAGTCCAGCCAACTTTTTATTAAATATTTAATTGTGGGTGGGTCCGATTAGCCCACTCTCGATCGGCTTTGATTAGCGATCCGAGCGTATCCAGTAGGGCGATGCCTCGACGATGCATTTTAATTTGGGTGTTACGCATTAGTCCGCGCGGCACCAAGTGCCCGAGCGACGATCGTACGCTAGTACCACTTGTGCCACTAGGCGAAGTGACTGTGCCAAACACGGCCTGTGGGGCCCGAAGGCACCAAAGCGCTCAACCTTCTTTTTCCGAGGGCAGTGCGACTAACTTGGGTCTGAGTTGAAAACTCACGGACCGATGCATATTTCTATGTGAAGCTCGGTGGGCCGCTGATTGGCCCCGCCGCGAGCTGCTACGTCCATTAACCCCGCACGTTGAGCCGGGCCGAGGGTCACTGTAACCCATAGGCCGGTAATCGTGGGTGTTAGAGAGAAGGCCATGCAGATGGTTGTGTGTGTATACATATTGTCGGGCCGTGCGGCCCGTTACCGTGCTTATTGCGCAGCTGAAGCCACTCGACGCGCTCGAGTGAAATGATTAAAAGACGCTCGGCCCGAGTCTTGAAGACGTTCAGGGCCAGCTAAAGAGGAGACCATCGCGGCTGAGGACCGTGAGACGAGCATCTCCACCCCAGAGACCGATGGCCTAGGAGAGAACACCTAGAGGCCGAGGGTCTAGAGTGGACTACCACGGCGGAGGACCGTGAGACGATCATCCATCATTCAGAGCCGGTGGCCTAGAGGAGACCACTACGGCCGAGGGTCGTGGGACCATCCTTACATCACGCCGACCTCACGGTACAGCGTGTTTATCCTTTGAAGACCGGCCTCGTCCCCGCGCTGCGCGGATGAGGACCGTTGCTTGATTTTAGGTCGGCCTCTCATTGCCGACATCATTATATCACGACCGGCCTCTCGGCACGGCGTGCTTATCGTTTTGAAGACCGGCCTTGTCCCCACACTGCGCGGATGAGGACCGTTGCTTGGATTTCAGGCCGGCCTATCATTGCCAACGTCATTATATCACGACCGGCCTCTCGGCACGGCGTGATTATCTTATTTGAAGACCGGCCTCGTCCCCGCGATGCGCGGATGAGGACCGTTGCTTGACTTCAGATCGGTCTCCCGTTGCCGACATCATTATATCATGACCGGCCTCTCGGCTCGGCGTGTTTATCTTTTGAAGACCGGCCTCATCCCCGCACTGCGCGGATGAGAGCCGTTGCTGGATTGCAGGTCGGCCCCTCAGTGCCGACACTATCACATCATGCTCGGCCTCTCATCGCCGACATCATCATACCACGACCGGCCTCTCGGCTCGGCGTGCTTATCTTTTGAAGACCGGCCTCGTTCCCGCCCTCGCGGACGAGGACCGTTGCTTGATTTTCTCAGATCGGCCTCTCATTGCCGACACCATTATACCACGACCGGCCTCTCGGCTCGGCGTGCTTATCTTTTGAAGACCGGCCTCGTCCCCGCCACCTCGCGGATGAGGACCGTTGTTTGATTCTTTCAGGTCGGCCTCTCACTGCCGACACTATCATGTATGTTCGGCCTCTCGGCACGACATATTTATCTTTTGAAGACCGGTTTCATCCCCGCGTTGCGTTGGATGAGAGCCGTTGCTCGGATATATCGGCCTGACCGGACACTATTGCCATCTCCATTATCAGGACCGACTGCTCAGCGACATTATGATCATTGTATATCGGCTCCCAATGCCGACCTTCTTGAGTTAGCGATCGGGCTCACCCCTCCCTTCAGGAGGGTGACCATCGCCTTCGCATGACGACCAGCGTCTCCATCGCCTCGTCATTATATTCGTTCGCTATGCCACCACCATTATGTGTGACATCCCGTGATCCCTGCGAGTTTCTTGGATACCGAATGTCTTCTTCGATGTAGGAAGATCGGTAGGACCACAGACCAGGGACGGACTAAGAAGAGCTAGGGAATCTCGATGTAGATAAACCTGTTCCTCCTTGCGAGTTTCGCGGATACCGAACGTCTCTTCGAAGCAAGAGCGCCGGTAGGACCAAGAACCAAGGACGAACGAAGAATATAGATTGCCTCCCTCAAACAAAAAAAAAAAAAAAAAAGATGGGGAGAAGAGGAGGTTAGCTCCTATGTGGAAGGGAATCTTGCCCGGGTGTGCCAGATCTTCTCCCACCGCCGAAGACGAACGCCTCTCGATGTAGAGGTTAGTAGAGACGCGAAGGGGGCTAGACGAACCAAGGGAGCCTTGCCAAGATAAACCTGTTCATCCCACAATGACCATGGATCGATGGACGTGGGATAACAAAGACGGGAACCCGTGAGGGTAAACCAGTTCGTCCCTGCGAGTTCCTTGGGTACCGAACGTCTTCTTCGATGCAAGAGACGCCGGTAAGACTAAAAGGACCAGGGACGAACGAAAAAGGGGGGAATCTCGATGTAGATACACCTGTTCCTCATTGCGATGTCCGCGGATACCGAACGTATCTTCGATGTAAGAACGCCGGTAGGACCAAGGACCAATGACGAACGAAGACTAAAAGACTCCAAAAAAAAAAAAAAAAAGATGCCAGAAGAGCACGGAGCAAAGAATGATTTTATCCCTTGACACTATTGGCTGTGAAGTACAAACTGAAAAACATATGTAAAGAATAATTACAAAACTTAAGTACGAAGAATGAAGTGGCCGACGACGATCGGCTAACATCAGGTTTTCTTTGGCCTCGAACGACGATTAGCTCCCCAGATCAGGTAGAAGGGACATCGCCCAGATTTATTTCAGGTTCACCATTCCTTCCCGGATGGAGTCCTGATAGACGATCGGCTTCTCACAGCCAATCAGGAGAGAGACTTGACACATCACCAGCACGGCCGAGGGCCGTGAGACGATTACCACTCACCGACAGGACGAGGGCCATGAGATGATGGCATCACTATTTTTCTGTATCACGATCAGCCCCTCGGCGCCATCGTGTCCAGATTCACGTTCAGATCGTCCATCCCTTCCAGGGTGGCGACGAACGTCTTATGCATCACGATCGGCCCCTCAGCGCCATCGTGTCCAGGCTCACGGTTCGTCTTGCCCATTCCCTCCAGGATGGGGACGACCGTCTTATGCAGTACGATCGGCCCCTCAGCGCCATCGTACCTGGCTTCACGGTTCGGCTCGCCCCATTCCCTCCAGGATGGCGACGGACGTCTTATGCAGTGCGATCGGCCCCTCAGCGCCATCGTACCTGGCTTCACGGTTCGGCTCGCCCATTCCCTTCCAAGATGGCGACGGACGTCTTATGCAGTGCGATCGGCCCCTCAGCGCCATCGTACCTGGCTTCACGGTTTGGTTCGCCCATTCCCTCCAGGATGGCGACGACCGTCTTGTGCAGCACGATCGGCTTCTCAGCGCCATCGTGTCTCTTTCACGTTCGGATCGCCCCATTCCCTCCAGGATGGCGACGAACGTCTTATGCAGTGCGATCGGCCCCTCAGCGCCATCGTACCTGGCTTCACGGTTCGGTTCGCCCATTCCCTTCAGGATGGCGACGACCGTCTTGTGCAGCACGATCGGTTCTCAGCGCCATCGTGTCTCTTTCACGTTCGGATCGCCCCATTCCCTCCGGGATGGCGACGAACGTCTTATGCAGTGCGATCAGGCCCCTCAGCGCCATCGTACCCGGCTCACGTTAGGGTCGCCCATCCCTTCCAGGATGGCGACGAACGTCTCTTATGCAGCACGATCAGCGCCCTAGCGCCATCGTGTCTGGCTCACGTTAGGGTCGCCCATCCCTTCCAGGATGGCGACGAACGTCTCTTATGCAGCACGATCAGCGCCCCAGCGCCATCGTGTCTGGCTCACGTTAGGGTCGCCCATCCCTTCCAGGATGGCGACGAACGTCTCTTATGCAGCACGATCAGCGCCCTAGCGCCATCGTGTCTGGCTCACGTTAGGGTCGCCCATCCCTTCCAGGATGGCGACGAACGTCTCTTATGCAGCACGATCAGCGCCCCAGCGCCATCGTGTCTGGCTCACGTTAGGGTCGCCCATCCCTTTCAGGATGGCGACGAACGTCTCTTATGCAGCACGATCAGCGCCCCAGCGCCATCGTGTCTGGCTCACGTTAGGGTCGCCCATCCCTTCCAGGATGGCGACGAGCGTCTCTTATGCAGCACGATCCGCGCCCAGCGCCATCGTGTCTGGCTCACGTTAGGGTCGCCCATCCCTTTCAGGATGGCGTCGAACGTCTCTTATGCAGCACGATCAGCGCCCCAGCGCCATCGTGTCTGGCTCACGTTAGGGTCGCCCATCCCTTTCAGGATGGCGACGAACGTCTCTTATGCAGCACGATCAGCGCCCCAGCGCCATCGTGTCTAGCTCACGTTAGGGTCGCCCATCCCTTTCAGGATGGCGACGAACGTCTCTTATGCAGCACGATCAGCGCCCCAGCGCCATCGTGTCTAGCTCACGTTAGGGTCGCCCATCCCTTTCAGGATGGCGACGAACGTCTCTTATGCAGCACGATCAGCGCCCCAGCGCCATCGTGTCTAGCTCACGTTAGGGTCGCCCATCCCTTTCAGGATGGCGACGAACGTCTCTTACGCAGCACGATCAGCGCTTCAGCGCCATCGTGTCTAGCTCACGTTAGGGTCGCCCATCCCTTTCAGGATGGCGACGAACGTCTCTTATGTAGCACGATCAGCGCCCCAGCGCCATCGTGTCTGGCTCACGTTAGGGTCGCCCATCCCTTCCAGGATGGCGACGAACGTATTTTATGCAGCACGATCAGCGCCCCAGCGCCATCGTGTCTGGCTCACGTTAGGGTCGCCCATCCCTTTCAGGATGGCGACGAACGTCTCTTATGCAGCACGATCAGCGCCCCAGCGCCATCGTGTCTAGCTCACGTTAGGGTCGCCCATCCCTTTCAGGATGGCGATGAACGTCTCTTACGCAGCACGATCAGCGCTTCAGCGCCATCGTGTCTAGCTCACGTTAGGGTCGCCCATCCCTTTCAGGATGGCGACGAACGTCTCTTATGTAGCACGATCAGCGCCCCAGCGCCATCGTGTCTGGCTCACGTTAGGGTCGCCCATCCCTTTCAGGATGGCGACGAACGTCTCTTATGCAGCACGTCTGCCTCTCGGCGCTGACATGCTCGAGTTCTCATTGAGAGCTACCGCTCCTATCACATCTTGCATTCCCTCTTTCATACATTGCACCATACATTACATGCATTCATGCATCATACCTCATACATTCATACATACACACGTGCATCATGTTTTGACAGTACCGCGACGTCGGTTTATAGATGCATGGACCTCTAAGCTTCTCCGATTGGAAAGCTCGAGTCAGAGTGCTTTACTCCCGCCTGATGCATTCAGGCGGAGTGTGCCCGTGGAGGAGCACCCTTCGCCCGACCCTGTCGGGAAGGGGGGTGCCTCACCGGCAGATTACGTTCAGGAGTGCAGACACCCACTCATATATTATGATTATTCGAAGACACAGTTTCCAGCAAGACAGAGGAAGAGCGCAGGCAAGAGTATACTTTCTCGAGCAGATTCGCACGCTCACTACTCAAGAAACTGGGGGACTTGTGTTGGGATATATTATCCCGGCCTATTACTGTTCAGGAGCCGAAGACATTATCCAGTACGGAGCCCAAGCAGCTAGGCCCGTTTCGGCCCATTCTGGCCCACTTTAGCCATTTGGGCCCATTCCGGTCCATGCGGCCCATTAGGGTGGAGAGCACCCTTCCCCTTTCCCCTATAAATATGAGGCTTCCCTCCATGTTTTAGGGATCCCTTTTGAGCTCTCCTTCCTCCTTTCTTTTAGACTTAGCTTACAATACTCCATTAATGGGAGCTACAACATATGTACTTTGTAATGGTGAGGAGAGTCCTAATGAGAATGAGAGGGCTTGGACATTAACCTAAAAAGTCCCGTGGTTTTCTCCCTTTCGGGTTTCCACGTAAAAACTGAGTTGTTCATACACATTTATACATATATTTACTATATTGTGTTGGATTAAACTCAACAGTATCAATTAGCCTTTAAGGACCGATCGTATTCGCTAACCCCACAACGAAGTATTTAGATAACATACTACAAGTTTTATTACGTAGAATCATAAAATCAAAATTCAAAAATTTTAAAAAATGATTTACTAATCAAGATTAAGAAAGAGTTCATCAGCTGACCGCATGCATAATGAACAATAGCTTTAGATAGGGACGCAAGTACTATTTTGCCAATGTGGGGAATAATTAAACACCTAATGGCGAGACACTTCTTTTTGTCAATTGTTCAATCGTTCTTCATTTTTATCAATTCTTCATATATATGAGCCTAATACAATGTTAATAAATGGAATTGCATGCATACTAAAGGGTTGCTGTGTAGTCTATGATATAATCTTATATACTCCCTCAGTTTCCATTTGTTTGACACATTTTGACTTGTCAAGGATTAAGGATTTTATTTATTGAGATAAATTTATTGTAGAGTACATTGTTTTGACATTGTTTGAACAATACTATCTATTTGACACTGTTTGACATGTTTTGCATTGTTTTGATAAAGATTTGTTTACCAAATAAGGAAATAAGGAAGTGTGACATTCATTTTGGAACATCTAGAAAATGAAAGTGTGTCAAACATTCACTCCAAGTGATCCTCAAGAGACTTCGGCTGTTCGTCCCCTGACCTTGGTGGATTCTCTCCATGTGGACTGGATCTCCTCCGATGATCATGGGCCTGCCCACGAGACGTTCGTCGTTATCCCTGATGGCCAGGGGTCCTGCCCCTTACCTCTGCACATACGTTCGTCGCAATGGGCCGTTTGAAACCTGGACCCCCCAATTCCAGACGTTCGTCTCTTTCCAAAGGTCATGGGCCTGCGCCCAGCCTGGTCCTAGCATGACGTGCGTCCGATAGAAAAAAAAGGGGTTAATGGGCCGGACCTCGGCCTGGGCCATTATCCCAACATACCCTATCTTTTTCTTAATAAATTCCTCTAAAAAAAACACAAGCGTTACACTTATTGCTCCATGCCTACATGTGGTACAAGAATATGTGCAATATAATTGAGTATCTTCATAATAATTGTTTTCATATCATTTTTAGCTTGTTAGGTTTTGTATACTTATTTACGGTTATATAATTAATAATTTGAAATTATAATTTTATGTGTCAGCGGTTTAACGATGAAACACAGTAATAGTTAAAATATTTTTTCTTAATGGTTAACTGGCGACGTAGCACAATTGCATCGATGTAATACTATTGATTCTTATATCGATTCTTCTAAAAACTTCTAGAACCGAATCGATATGGGAATAATGGTTCTTCAAATGGTTCCTAATTTTCTTTCAAGAATTGAACTGGTCTCACCCCTACATTTTTCTTCGTAAGATGAAATACAAAATATCACTTTTTATTTTTTTAAGTTTATCATGTTTTTTTTAAAATAAGTTTATCATGTTTATCACTAATAATGTAGAATCTCCTTGTTCAACTATATTTATCATGAAATGATAAAAAATAATCAAAATTTAATGTTCAAATCTTGCATATTGAGACCATCTTGGTACCCACCTCCCGATCCGGCCGGTATTAGTCCAGGACTTGTTGGCGCGTTTGAAATCTCGAGTAAATAATTAGCAAAATCTGCAATCAGATCTATGCGTACTTGTGGTGAGTAGAAGACGACAGAAAAATCCATGGAAATCTTTGGTGAGGAGAAGAGAATATTGCAGAGAATTAATGTATTAAGAATGCCTTAAAAGTGCATGAGAATCCATGATTTTAGAAGTCAATAAAAATGAACGGATATTTGAATACTTTATAGACTTTTAAAAAAGTCTGTATTGAATATATCTAAACTTTTAACATTCATAGACTTTTAAAATTTTGTCACTAATTTCTAATTCACTCCCTAAATTCTACTACGTATTTTATAGAACACCATTTTTTTTGTTTGCAGTGACTCCAGTGAGATCCAAAGGGCTTCGCGGGATAAGGCTTATAGTCACTCTTGTTTTGCCTATTGTTGCGGTGTTTCTGATGCTCTTTTTGTTCATGGTCAAATTAAGAAAAGGTATCACAAATTTCTTAACAGCACTTCATTTTCAACATTATCTAATTACGTTTAAATTAGTTGTTCCATTTAAGAGATTAAAGTAACGCAGACGTCTTATAATCACTTATTATTTTATACAAATAATTCAATATAAGTATTTCAATAAATTAACCTTGTTTATTACATATATGAAAAAAGTTCACATAACTTATCTTCAATAGGTCTTCTGCACACATGCTAAACACCACAGGTGATTTACCAAAAAACGGGAAAAATGGGTTGGGGTTGCCAAAATATGGGGATTTTTTTAGGGTTTACCAAAAAACGGGAGTTGGAACACCCAATTCCGACTAGGATTTATTTATTTTGTTTTTTTTTGCCGAATCCTCATGGAATAGAAGCAGCTGGCTCTATTCACATCAATAAACTTGATATTCTCATAAGTAGGGCTGTAGGGTGCCTGTTTATCATTCCCAACCACATGTCCACATAACATGTCATCTAGAGCTTCCCATCCAGGAGGGGCGAAGACAGGATCTAGTGTAAGTGGTGTCAATTTTTAAAAGATTATCTATGCCTATATACATAAAATTTTTATTTTTCAGTGGTGTCAATTTAAATTTTTTAAAAAAATTTATATATCTATATATGGGGAAAAAATTTCAATTGACACCACACCTCAAAGGTGGCTCCACCCCTGCATCCAGGGTGGCCTGAAAAATTATTTATTATATGTAACTTTTTTTAGTAAAGTAAGGACTGTGAAATCTGATCATATAACATTCGCCCTTTGATGAAAAAAAATATTACAGCAACGAGCTACATATATACTTGGACAGAGTTAGGTTCTCATTTTATTTGTAAGCCCAAATGAATGGAAGAGGATGAAAGTTTTATCATTTCAGAAAAGTTTATGATTCTCCGAAAATCACTCCCTTACCGTATTCCTGCATGTATTTACTTGAACTGTTTTCCATCCCAGACCAGACCAATTCAGACTTCTATAGTTATAAAGTACACAGAGACCAGACATTTACCAAACCAGTTCATACCAAAACAGACCAGACTTGACCAGTTCATACCAGACTAAACCAGCAAATTTCAGGTAAAAACATCCTTATTGTCCATTAAAAGATTAGCATTTGAATCATGAATTTTTATTGTTGATGTTGAAGATCATTTACTGATGTCTATATATTTCTAGGTAGGAACCACCTCTCGAATGGTAAGAGTAGTAGTTTTAAATCATCGGATTGGTCTCTTTTGGGCAAAGATATGAAAGAAAGTAGGGAGAAAGATGTATTAGTTTATGATCTCAATTCCATTAAAGCTGCCACAGATAACTTCTCGGATGCCAACAAGCTTGGTGAAGGCGGATTTGGATCTGTTTACAAGGTAAATCAGTATCACAGTTTGAAATAATTAACAAACGATATAATCAACAGTCTTGTATCAAATACGTAGTAATATTCAATACTTAAACATAAAGTAAGGAAATAATTATGAATTATTTCACAAACAAATTAACAATGAGTTTCTTAAGTACAAAAGACATGCATCCATTAAAGTAAAACACCGATGTTTCTACTAACACCAATAAATTTTCAACCATGGCTTAGCGATATACATATATTGGTGTATGTGTGTTTGTAGGGGAAGTTTGAGAATGGATTGCTCATAGCAGTGAAAAGACTTTCGAGATCTTCTAGGCAAGGGACAGTTGAATTCAAGAACGAAGTTACAGTTATAGCAAGGCTCCAACATAGAAATTTAGTCAGACTTTTAGGGTGTTGCATTGAACGTGGAGAAAAACTGTTGATATATGAGTACTTGCCTAACAAGAGCTTGGACAGTTTCCTATTTGGTGAATTTTCATCAGACTACTCAAGTTCTTACTAACAACATTTTATAATATAGATTCATGAAATAGTTGACCATCGTCTTGCAGATAAAGCAAATAAGATATCTCTATGTTGGAGTAAACGATTTGAGATCATCTTGGGGATTGCAAAGGGACTCTTATATCTCCATCAAGACTCCAGATTGAAAATTATCCATAGAGACTTGAAAGCTAGTAACGTTTTGTTGGACGCATCCATGCAGCCAAAAATTTCTGATTTCGGAATGGCTAGAATTTTTGGAGAAGACCAAATCGAAGCAAATACAAATCGAGTAGTCGGGACATAGTAAGTTTACATCATTGTTGTTCCAGAAACCTAAGAGAAAAATGTTGAAATGGACTGCATTTGATGTTATTAACACATTATATTATTCATTAACTGCAGCGGTTATATGTCCCCAGAATACGCAATGGAAGGTCACTTTTCAGTGAAGTCAGATACCTTTAGTTATGGTGTAATGTTATTAGAAATTTTGAGTGGGAGAAAAAACAAAAATCGATTTAATGAAGACTCTTTGAATTTGGTAGAGGATGTAAGTATCTCACAAGCAATTTAAATATAATGTTTTCACAAAAAGTTGAAAATATTTGATTTGCTTGTATTCAATACTTGATTTTCAGGTTTGGAATTTCTGGAGGGAAGAAAGACCACTAGATATGATTGATCCATCACTGGGGGCATCATATGAAGAACGAGAAGTTTTGAGATGCATTCATGTTGGTTTGTTGTGCGTTCAAGCCTTTCCCAACCACAGACCGACCATGTTAGAAGTGGTTTTCATGCTGAGCAATGAAACAACACTTCCTCATCCTAATCCACCCGGATTTGTGATCAATCAAGGGGTTGTTGCGCCATGTTTAGGAAATGAATCTGTTAACAATGTATCAATTACTAAAATTGAAGGTCGCTAAACATTAACTTAGTTGTACATGGCGAATGCGATGTGTGATGAATGTGAAATGTCTAATGTTATAGTCACACATGCATATATGCATGTGTATACAAATTACTACCTTGTTATGCGCATTGTGAGAAGCGTTGATGCATGATACTAAGAGCCGATTTGAGAATCCTTGTTTTAAACTTATCAGTCCGATCATGTAACTTTACGGCACATGTAACTTCTAATACCGCACACCTGATTGCGTTGTAATCATTATATGTAAGGTTAAAGTTAGTTTTCTGAATTGACCAAAGTTTCTAAAGAGAATTATTTTTAATTACTTTTATATGAGTTTTTCTTCGTTGTATTAATTAAATATATTTTAAATAATTTTTTCACAATTCAACATGCTAAGCTAAATTATTTGCTCCAACTAGAATTTCTTCAATTTTACTAGATTCACCCAATGTCAATATAACTAAATGGGCCCTAGATGTTCATTTACCCATGGAAAAATGGAACGAAGAGCCGAAGTGGTTGGAGCTTGTTCGTGGAGCTCACTTTCATGCTCCCTGGAGTATGCTTTGAAGCTGAGTTAAAGGTAATGGAGTGGTGCGAACCCGAATGGTGGACGTGAGATCTCGGTTTTCAGGTCCAAGACCATTTAAGATAAAGACAACAAGGTCTTCTTCAAAAATAGTACTCTGAGCAAGTACCAAGTCGTCGGCTAACGTGGTCACCATTGGTAGTTTTGGCAAGGATGGATTTGAGAGATATGATCTGTGTGACACTGCACCCAAGTGTACTCGAAACTTTGTTTTAAAATTCATTCCATGCACTTGAACTCTCTCTACCGTTAATCATGTGTTAAATGATTAAGGCTCTATTTAATAAATGATTAATTAAAATATAAATCGAGTCTGTAGTATAAGGGTGGGCCACCGAATACTTTATTGGTTCATCTTATTAGTTGCAAGAGCCCAATGTTAAATAAAGAAGGGATCATAAGACATCCGGGCCCGATAAGAAAAAATGGGCAGCCCAAATATCAATTTGGTACCAACTTGCTAAAAATAGCAAGTTTAATGGTAAGAGATATCCCAGGACTACTTGAGGGTATCACACACTTATTATAGACTCCAAAAAATATCAGAAGGACTATAATAATTAATATATATGAATCAAGGGGTGAGGGAACCCCTAGAGACAAAAACAAACTCCTATGCTCTCATCTTTAACATTATGGAGCTAAATTAAGGGAATAAGGTTTTTCCCCTATTTCTTGAACACCATATAAATTATTGGGATCATTCTACACATATTAGAGACCAATAATATTGATGGATCGTCGGACCAGGGGTGGCCGGAATCTACCAGTGTATAAGTCTCAAGTATGCAACAGATTAAGCATCCCTTTCCACAAGTTGGAAGGTGATCTTTATACTAAGGAAAAAGGAAATACTTGGAGGTCAAGCCAAAGATGTTAGTCTAATGGGAGAAGGACACGCGTAAAGCTATTCTAACAAACTAACAACCCAATTCAATGAGGATCGGCCACGTGTGAAGCTGATTGGAGAGAGGACCTTTAATAGCTGGCTGATTGATTATCCTTCTAACAGAATTCCTGCCAGAAGTCCCGTGTGGCTGCACGTGGATAGCCTGGAATATTCCTTTGGTGCAGAGAGTGACGTGGCGGTGTCTCCTTGCGAGACAAATCCTTGCGGATTCTATCTAAGTACATGGCGCTTTATCCTGACCTTGGGGACCACTGAGGTCGATACCTGAGAGCTCGGGCTCGTGTTGAGAGGATCCGCCCTTTTGTCCTTTGTTCCTGTCCTGGCGATAGTTGACTGCCTGGTGCTTGATCATAGTTGACTAAATGCTTGTCTTCCGGAGTCAGACCTGGTACCGACCTCGGGTGCATCGAGGTCGGGCTCATGACTTGCCGAGTTCGGTTGATTCCTGAGCCTGATATCTTCCCGACCTTGGGGTCGGGGTCGGTTGACCTCGTTACCCACGGAGTTTGGTTGGTTCCTGAGCTTGGTGTTTTCCCGACCTCGGCGGTCGGGGTCAGTCTTGGACTGTGGACTTAGTATTTCTTGCGTCTTTGATGGACCCGCAATGCTTTCTTCCAGCGAATATGATACCCCTAGGGTATATGGGAATATACTCCATCAAATATGATGTAGGAAAGACGAAAAAAGTACAAAACAATAGAACTCAAATCTTCAATTTTTTGAAGTATTGGTAGATATTTTTCTCCCAAATTGATTGGCACCTATGGGGGTCGTCCCATACCTTCTTTGCACCTGCGAAAAAATGAAATAAGTTAGTAGACTTATTGAGAGGCGGACATAAGGAAAAAGGGGGCTGCACATGACTTTGTGACAAATCAAGGTGCCCTCCTCCAAATTGATTGAGAGGTATTTTGTCAATCATCCCACATGATCTCATTCTCACACCATACGAATTAAACATCATTAGTGGGTGGTCTAGGATAGGTGTGGTAGCATCCATACTAAATCCTTGATCCATGGAGGAGAGGAAGAGCTCACACAAACAAAAGAGAGGTAAAGAAAGCTACTGTCTGCTAGCTTGCACAATTGCAACTCTTGAGATTGTTCAGTCCATATATCGAGCATCTCTTATTCAATGGGCTTGATTAACGGCTCTATAGAAAGGTATTGAAGAAAGATTTTATACTAGGTGAAATTCTTGAGAAGAAGAAGAGTTTACATCCCAGAAAGACCGGATAAACATACGAGGAAAAATCTGGATTCTCAAAACAGTTTGTGTTTGGTTTCTAGCTATTACCTTAATTGTTTACAAAACCGATGAACGACTAAGTTGGATGTTCTACAAGTTTATATGTGTAGATTAAGGCCTTAATTTAGTATTTTTGTCATTCAAAAGGTTGAATACTAACCTAGAACAAAACTTGAAAGGTTAGGAGACGAACTCGCCGAAAAACGCCCTTAGCTTCTAGGGGACTGTTTTCATATATCTTTCTAAGGGACGAATCATCACTTGGAGGAGATCGTCTAGATACTATTTTTAAGAAAGGAATCAGTCTCTAATATTCCTTGTCCAGAGGTTTGGGCATACGATTGAAAGAGGGAAATTTGGAGCTCATTTGAGGTGAGGATCAACATCTAATTGCTTATAACTTGTAGGTTAAGCATTGATAAGTCCGTATTTTGACACGCATTTGATGTGTGTTGAGATCGGCTTTTGATGATTTCCCTATCTTTAAGGTGTTACAAGTCTCAATTTTAGCTCAAGTTATGATTACCGGGCGTTGGTTCGAGTTTTGTGTTGTTTGTAGTCAAAATCAGGGAATTTGAGCCCGGTACCGGCACTTGAAGAACAATCGGGATGATTTGAGAAGCATTTGAGAATAATTTGATAGCTTTGGAGTTCACCGGAAGATTCACGATGAAGATTTGAAGGAAAAAGAGCTCTAGGATTGGCTTCGGGATCAAAAGAAGATGAATGAAGCCTGAAAACGACGATGAGGATGACCTTCTGTCAATCGTTCAAGCACAGCTCTTTGTAGAAACATCCAATGTACACGATTCAAGTTCCGTATGAAAGCTAACTTAATGGGATACAAATCATATGAAGACACCTTTGCGAGAATATGAGAGGAAGAAGGTGAAAACAGACGATGAAGTCAGATGATCTCTACTGCGATTTCAGAAAGACACCTTCCACCGTTTTGATCATATCTCTTGATTGGATGATTCAAATAACATTCGGCAAATTGGGGTCGATAGAGGACTTCATTATCTACAACTTTCACGCAGGAAGTTTTGTCAAATTCGGAAGTTAAGTAGGCACGATCGTGCCCTCAAAGTCAGACACGATCGTGCCTGAAGAGAAAAGCATCGCGGAGTCACTGCCAGCCAGGCACGATCGTGCCTGGAGGGAGGCACGATCGTGCCTGCCCAAAATGCGCGTTTTTGCTCCGGAGGCACGATCGAAGGCACGATCGTGCCTGGCATCGTGTCTGGCTCCGAAAATCCTAATTCAGCTCAAATTTCACCCGATTTTTCTATTTAAACAGCCTGTAAACCCCCGTTTTCAAGGGGGGAGCTTAGAGAGAGTGCCTAGCACGAATTTTAGAGGGTTTTTCAGCCTTGTTCGTCAATCTTTTGGTATTCTTTGTAAGTTCCATCTTTTTAATTAATGACAATTAATTCTATTCTTCCCAATTCTATTGATTCTTCAATTATGAATTGTGAGTAGTTTAATTAGGGATTTGGGATTGATGAAGGGGTTGATCATGATGTATGGCTAGTTTCTTGATGGATTAATTGCATGAATGCCGTTTAATTTGTGTTTGAATAATTTAATTGATATCTTTTGTAACCTAGAATCGCGACTAGAATTACAATTGCATGTAGAATAAATTAAGAGAGATCTAATTTGTTCTAGGACACATTCACACACACTTAATCGTTCGCTAAGAGATTAGTAGCGATTAAGGGGCCATAAGCTCGCTCGTCTTGGCAATAATTTAGGATCCTGTCGCATGAGAGATCAGTCTGGTCCCCTAAATTATTGTACTCTACGCCGCGAGAGCGGTAAGAACTTAGTAATGATTAGCTAGGCTCAATTAAATTAATTTCATGTAATTAGGCCTGATCTGCCAGAAATCTGGTTACCCCGGAATCGATCCCTGTTCCCTTCGTCATTAATTAGAAAGAACCCCCTAGTTTAATTGTTCGCATTAGTTTTATTTTTCCAGCAACCAATCTCGCACGACGCATTTTTATTTATTTCTTTTTAATCGCTGAATTTAATTAATTCTTGATTCTCTTTTGTCCGTCCCTGTGGAGACGATACTCGTACTTACACCACTTTATTACAATCTATTTTAAGTGCGAGAAAACACACATCAGTTTTTGGCGCCGTTGCCGGGGACGGTGTCGGTTTTAAGGGTTAATTAATTTCAGCGAGATTTTTTTTAGTTAGTTTTTTTTTAGTTCTTCGTAGGATTTTTCTGTGCTAACCTTTCAGGTAATTTCTAAGAGGCATGAGATGAACCTATTCAGCCAAATTCCTGGAGGAATTCCTTACCCTCAAACCTCCATGGAATATTCACCATATACGCCATACCCTCCTTACACACCTCCTCCTCCTCAATATTACACATCTCATCAAAATTATTCTCCTACACCACAAAATTTCTCATCTTCCTATTCTTACCCTCTTCCAAATACGCAATACTCCCAATCTCATTCTCCTAATCAGTATCCTTATCCACAATATCCTCGGATAAAACCAGGCTCCATTATGGAATTTCTCATTCAAACTAAAAGTCCCGAGGAATTGGTTGATT